TCTGGTATATACTTTAAAGAGATCATTCTGGCAAGAATTTCTCAATAGTAATTGAAAAAGTTCAATAAACTAATGGAAAACTGCAAAAAATCGGTCAAATTTACGGTACACCCGCTTTGAACAAAATATATTGCAATATTATAAAGATAGTTATCTCGGGGTCAGGACAGAATATTTTGAGCAATCCTATTTTATTTTAGAATTTTCGTAAGCAATAGACGTGATGCCATTTTTGAAAATAATTCTATAAGTGTTTATAGCTACATATGGCATATATATATTATATGATTATCACAAATCAAAGTCTAAAATATATTCGGCCTTGCTTATGCTTAGTCCCTGTATAGTTAGACTACTCTGAACATTACTTCGTTATAAAAAAAAAACAACAAATATTTAAGTCATGTCTAAAAATAATAACACGTATGTGGTATGTCATGTAGCTTATATAATAGATAAAATATATAACAATGATTTGTATATATTAATCACGATTTGAATTACTTCATCAACAAATTTCCTATTTTAATATAATCCTGCAGGGTTAATTATTTCGAATACAACTTCTTACTTTTGAGTTGAGGGCATAACTATCCGTCATTGCCCCTATGGGTTAGGAAATATTAAAAACGACGTAAAAATTATTGGCCGCAGGCAATTTCGGTTTGGATAAAAGTTCTGGCAACTCCATTGATAATTATAAGAATAAAAAAAAATGTACCTATAATGAAAAAAAAAATTATTATTAAAACGCTATAGGCATATACAACGCCAATTTATTAAACGCTGTAACTAAAAGTAGATATATTCCTTTTTTTTTTTAATATAGCACCTATAGCAACTTATATATTATAAGTAGACAGGTACTGCATAAATATTTCGTTAAACGAATTTCTTCAAATCTCGCTATAATATTATATACTTGTCTACAGTTATTTGTTTGTTATCGATCCACTTGTAGTAACGGTTAGTTAAATATTAATACTAACGGGGTATGCGGACTTATGCAGATATGCGTCACTATTATCATATTATGTTTCCATACGTACAAGAAAAATGAAATCTGAAACACTCTTGTAGTATTCAAAATTTAAATACCAGTACCTAACAGGTGGTTATTGTACAGAATAAAAACTTTAATCAGCAGGCAGTATGAAGTGTATAATGTATACAGTATTGAATTATTATTTTTTTTTATTCTTGTACCACATCAACGACTCAGGTTATTACTTATTAGTTCTTAGCTTACAACAATAATTTGTTGAACATGTTCAGTGGTGCCCATTATCTTCTTGAAGAATAAATAAAAATAAAATAAATAATAATATTAGCTATACATAGTATATGATATTATAAAACGATGTGTGAATAAAATAATTAATAACAAAAAAAAAATAATGGATACCGCTCTGTAGTGCTGTACAGTAGGTCAAAAGTAGGTCACCGTAATGAATGATGTTAAATTTGAATTCAATGATACAATATCAAATCGTAAAATGATTCTGAGCAAAGATGGTCTGCCAATTAGCCTATAGTATAATAATATTTTTAAATTACGACAAAATATTTTTCTTAGTGACAGTATGAACTACTTATTACTTTGTTTTTAATGTTTAACCCTTAGCTATAAAAACTGAAAATTCTATAAATTTGTAACTACAAAATAATTTTCAAATTTATTGAGATTTTGACAAATGTTGTAAAATTTTAATATTTAAATGCTTATACAAAATCTACATCTTTGATATTTTTTAACTTTTATTATAACAACTTTTGAGGTACCTACGTTGTGTTATATTTTCACACTTTTCAACCCAACCAAAAATATTTTATTGACGTTTAAAGAAAAAAAAAACTTGAAACTATCTATAAATAGCTCAAAACGAGACAAAATATTTTGAAAATGTAATGGTGTATATAAAATTATAATATAAAGTATAAACTATGGTGACAATTTAAAGTGTCTACGGTTATTTGTTTTTTAATCACACCAAAAAAGCTAAATCGATTTTGTCGAAAACTGGTTTTGCGTACAAAATACCCGTTTTTCCTTCATTTTTTTGTTTTTTCCCGGCGCTTTCGAAAACTCCTGTTATTTTTCCATTTCGACCTTTTTAAAGTACCAATAAAATTCAGTTCTCCCCAGAAAATATGTAGAGGTTGAAAGTCGAAGCATTATTTCGACTACTTTATACATACCTAGGTACATAAACAAAAAAAACACATAATTGTAAAATCAATTCATTCATCGCTTCGCTCAGAATCTAAAAAAAAAACAGTTATAGTACTTAAAATAATTAACTAATTTCTACTCAAAAATATATTAAATCAATTTTAGCAATAAATACACTGTGCTGCAGGTATGTAAGTACCTGTACACACGGCTATATATGCAGTTGCATCTGTTGGAATCAAACTTTTATAGTCAAGTTTTTAATGAGTTGAGTTTTAAAAAAAAATGTAATAGATTTTTTTACATAGGACATTTTCAACAGAAAACTGTTAAAATATTATAAACCAATGTAAACTATATTTAATTATAATGACAGAACCTTTACTAATATTATATTTTACAGGTGTATTGACACAAAGTGAAGATGACACGAACTTCGTTCAATTGAAATCCATATTGACAAACTACAACGTATCGATCGAACCTATTTTAAACGATCCGTCGTACAATATAACTAATAAATGTATGTATAGCCTTCACCCTTATTGCATTAATAATGTCAAATTGGAATAGGTAATTGATAAATACGCAGACCCCTGAAACATTATTTTCGTTATAATTAAGTATTGTAATAACGATTTACTGTTATTTAATTAAATGGTTGGTAGGTATATACGTATCTAGAATTCAATTTTCAAAGGGGAGGATTTCAAATTAACTAAATATCGTATTTTATACAAAGCGACACGATATACAAAGCGATAAATGTTTATCAGGTGCATATCAGTACAATAGGTAAACATACCTAGATATATTGTACCTACAAATATTCTGAGTTTTCAAGATTCGAGTTCCTATATATCTGTCGTCCTGGAAAGCTATATGGAACAGATACTATTAGTATATAATATACCAAAATTACATTACAAACAGTAATTTATTTAAGATATCAATATTAATGCAAGTTTTTAAACAGTTTGCAGTGTTGCGTCGAATAACACATTAGCCACCATTGATCTTCTCATTCCCTCGTGTATACCATGCTGGAAAATAAGTAACGCTAATTCCTTGGCCTATTTCCGAACTGACTTTTCTTACATTCAACCGGCAATCCAATTGATTGAATCGTATGTCACGTGGTTGAATATTACCAAAGAAATTACATTCGTATTCACCAACCAGGAAGGTAAATATTTTATTTTTAATAGATTTTCTATAATATTAAACAAAATTCGTGTACTCAGACGCAGATCAAGCCGTTACCTATTTGACTTCAGGAAGATCGTCTTTAAGAGCTATTGTCTTGAGCAGTCTAACGTCGAATGAAATCGATCAACTTAAGAATACCAAAATTGGTATTAGACACATAGCTCTAATAGGAAATAACTTGGATCAATATGTGCAGGCAGTTAGTGCAACAATAAATTTACATAGTTGTGTGCTCGTGTACACAATACCTCGTAATAACGTAAACAATAACTTTTTTTTATATCAGATAAATCAAGAGAAATTGATAAAGCTGGATGAATCATGGATAATTGTTACAAACGATACGACCAAACTAAAACTTGAATCGGCAGTGACGCTCATGAAGTTCACGTCATGGGAAAATGGATATACAAATAAAATGACGCGTGCTAAGACATTATTGAACTTCATTTTCTACTTTCTTGACCGTGTGTCACGAGATCGTCCAAAACTTAGTTGTGACTTGATTTCTGATGTCTTAGTGTCGGACAAACGAAAAGAAATCGAAAATTTACTCAACTCGGTATACCTATATAAACTTAAAATATGTCATAAGTTATAACTCAATGTTATAACCCATATAATATGTTAAAATTCATAATTATAACTTTTAAGTCTTAATATACCTATTAAGGGGCCTGGTCGCGATTTTTAAAATTTTCCGCAATTCTATAAAATTTGAAAATTAAATTTTATATTTTAGTTGCCACCTCAATTATAAGACTTTTCCACTAATCTACTACCCAATACCTATTTAGGGGGGGTTTATAGGGTGTATTATATCGGTAAAAACACAGTTTACAGGAAAAACTCTCACACCTCGTAGATTGGTCCGATTTCCGTAATTTTTTTTTTGTTATATAGAAGATTATTTTTTACAGGGCTCATTGGACTTTGATTTTTGGTTACGTTGCTAAAAATAAATAATAATACAAAAACTAAAAAAGTTGTAAAAATGGATTAAATTCAAACTTGCAATATAAGATTTCGAAAAATAATTTTGTAAATCCAAGTCCAATGCGCCCTGCAATACGTCTTTCTCTATTTAACAAAAAAAAAAATTACGGAAATCGGACCAATCTACAAGGCGTGAGAGTTTTTCCTGTAAGGCATGTTTTTGAGCAAAAAAACAGGTCGCGACCAGGCCCCTTAATTACTATAATATTTTTAGAATAACGATTTTTAATATATATTATTTTATATAATATTGTTGTATATAATATAATGTTTAAGTATATGTATGTATTGTGTTATTTACATCCGATGTTTAGTATGAAAATAAAAATGAATTTCAATACGACATCGATACCAACCTGATGACGTACAACGAACAAGCAATGATACTCAAAATCAGTCCGGATGGTGTACATAACCAATTGGGTACGTGGACCATAAATGGAGGTTTAGAAATGAAATACGATGCTTCGACAGTAATCAGCGGCCGGCGATTCTTCAGAGTTGGGACTGCAAAGGTCAGCTTGCATTTTATTAGTGGTTCGACTTATCGTGATATTCGTTATCGTAATCGTAAGTCTGACGAGATCTGTTTTTGTACCCAAAGTCTATTCCTTGGACGTTCATGGAAGACGTGTGGAAAGGTTATTGCATTGATCTGATCGAAAAACTGTCAAAAGAAATGAACTTCAAATACGAACTAGTCGTTAAAGACAAATTTGGTTCGCTCGACCCAGAGACGAACCAATGGAACGGGCTCATCGGTGGACTTGTGGAAGGAGTGAGTGAACATACCTACATCTAGGTACCTACGTAATTATTGACTTTCAAGCTTTCATATATTACTGTGTGGTTGCAGGAACTAGATATCGTGATAGCTGCACTCACCATGACATCGGAACGGGAAGAAGTCATAGATTTCATTGCCCCGTACTTTGAACAAACGGGAATATCGATAGGTGATGGAAATATTTTAACGTACTAATATTGGTTTGTAATTTAAAAAACGGGAAAGGTACTCTCTAAGGTATGGTAGGTGTCAAATTTACCTCATATAAATGGGTAGGCCACTGTAATGAATATGTTAAAAATATTTGAACTCGATAATAAATCATTGTATCTGTGAGATACAAACAATACAAGAGACCTAAATGTTAAAATAAATATTTAATAAAGAATTCAAGTATATCTGCAGTTATTTATTTTTTAAGGTCGATTTTATCAAACTCTATTTTTGGTTAAAAATTCTTTAATTGTTTTGTTGTTTTTCCCAATCATTTTTGAAAATACTGTGAATTTTTTGAAGTGTTATTACTACTCCAAAGGGTGGTGACTGGTGACAGTCGACAAAAACAAAAATTAATTTTATAAAACACACATCATTGTAAAATTAATTCATTTATCCCTCCACTCTGAGACTAAAAAAATTAGTTTATTAGAAGCACATTTAATCTTCAGATTTTTACAAAATTCCTATGAGTGAGCAATATTCTAAGAAACCAAATATAAATGTAAAATAACAATTTAAAGATTTTTTTTTTTTGTGTGTCATTGGTATCAACAGTTTACTTTCGGATGTCTCAAAATGATATTTGCTCAGCTCTACAAAAAAACTGGGCAGGCCACTGGGTAACATATTTCAGTTGAGATATTAAATTTAAAAGTAATAATAAATCATCGCATTCGAAAAACGATTCCGATCAAGGGGGCGGTTAAAAAAAACTGCACTTGTTTACATTACTTCATTTTATTTCTTAAACATTCTTTTAAAAAAATGTTTGCGCTTAAGGAAATTACTGTGAAAAACGAACGTATAATTTACTTTAATTGATATACATTTTTCTTGTTTTTAATTTATTCAAAATAAATATTGGTTTAACAAAACGTATTTCAAAAGTAAATTCTTGAAGATATTATGCTAGGTATCGAATATTGAAATATTGACTCTAAATCAATTATCTTAGCAATGAAAACCGTTAGATTTATTTATTTTTTTATAACACTTTATAACACAAGTACTTCGGTTGAGAGCAAGACATTGGTTACAGCACATCGGTATTAGGATTTTATTTTTCTGAAAGTTGAAAAAAGTCAGATAACTCAATTTTAAAGCACTTATTGTGTATGGATGAAAACCAAAAATAAACTTTCTATTCCCAGAATCTATTGCAAAAGATTAAGTAGCAATCAGATGGCAATAATTCCCCAGAAGAAGTTTTTAATGAACTATCAAATAAAAAACTATTGTTTTGTAAAATAAACAAACTAAATAGATAGTCAATATTTTATTTTTTATTAAAACCTAAGTAATAGACAATAGTATGTATTACGATTTACAAGTAATAATATTATCAATTCATTTTAAAGTTTTATAAGTAAATATACATTTTAAATTATTTTTAACTATAAAATAAAAACCCCTCATAGTCTCAGGTGAAAATCGTTCTAAGTCACTGTTTTTAATATCAACTAGAGTTCACTAAATAACCCTGATATATAAATATATAATATGTCGTAGTACCTAGGCAGGACGACACTATCGCCTGTCCATTTCTCAAATACCTAATTCATTGTTTCGATGTAATTTTTAATTTTAAACACATTTAAAGTTCAAACGTACAATTAGTACCTACCAGTTGCCTAGCCACAACGCCGTGTGATCGTTAATTTTCGGTTGACGATATTGAATTATCGTAGAAAATAAAATACTAAATACCCACAAATAATACACACAATTTCATTAACAATACGATTATTATGTACACTATAAACTTGGTTTTCGGTATTTTTCAAGATTATTCTACCGGAACAAGAGACAAATTAAATAAAAACCATAACGTTTTTAAAAACTAATTATATGTTATAAGGCCGTTGATCCTCGATGTGTCGTTATCGAATAAAAAAAAACACACACACATACATACATACATACACACATGCATACATACTTACATACATTGATACATATTATATACATTCACCAACTGTAAAGTGACTTGAGGTCACGAAAACAAGAAAAACAACTTTTCTTCTTGCACTTTTATCTTTCTTTGTGTCTATTTTATAGTATATACTATATATTATTATGCTGTTACCGCCAAAATATTTTAGTGTCGCCTGCCAAATTGTATAACGCGGGTTAGTGGGAATATAACGATAAATTATTATATTACTTATTACTTATCATCATACCTGCAGAGTCCACTTTTACCCAAACAATGAAAACCTTTTCCACAAAAAATATAACCGCCATAGGCGTGTCTACGGTGGCAGCCTAGGGTGCCCCTGCAATTTTTAAAAGATGTCGGTCAACCGGGTTTGAAGTCGGAATGGTTACAACATTTCTTTTTTTTAAAAAACCATCATTTTTGTGTGGGTATCGTTATAATTACCATTTACTTACAAACATTGATTTTCTGACTTCCGAAATCGGAAAAACCTACTATAAAGACTTGAGACAGGCGACGACGGTACCTACAGTACGCATTTAGGTATTATTGATATTATTGTTGTATTGTTTTTGATTTGTAGTTAGATGGTGTAATCCAATGGCTGTAGATGAATAATATTTCTGAGGTTACTGTAGATTATTATTGTAAATAGATGATTTGGACTTTTTTAAATTATATAAATATTTCATTGTGAAGGGGGGCTTGAAAAAATACGAATTGGGTGTATAGGGCTTTTTTTAGTTCACTAATAAGGTAGCGCCGGTTATTAGCTAGGCTGCCCCTGCCGACGAAGTCTAGTCACGCCTATGATAACCGCCGAATGCCATCAGTAAGTAAAATAGTCAACTCATTTCATTATTCCACTTGTACATTATTATTATGTAAATACTGGCCCCCAATCCGACTGTTTGTTTTAGGCAGATCTCACGATTTAAATAAACATAATATTTGTGGACCTGCTCGCCGTGTTGCTATAATACTTGTTGTCACCTAAGTGTACCTCGGCCATATACATTATAGTCCCGTCTCTGTAATATTCCTACCATTATGGTCTACACAAACATTGCACATTTGCACACCACAAGTCTACACTTACCTACATGTACTTCCGAAATAACAATCTTCGTCGCTCACCGTAACCACGTGTGTCATTTCAGTGATCAGGAAACCGTCCAGAAAGACTTCACTGTTCAAGTTTATGACCGTACTGAAACCCGAAGTTTGGCTTAGTATCGTAGCTGCTCTGGCCATGACTGCGGTCATGATCTGGATACTGGACAAATATTCGCCTTACAGTGCACAAAACAACAAAACAAAATACGAACAATTCAGGTATATTTACCATGTACGATATAAGCAGTGCTCGAATTGGAAATATCAAAGAGGGGGTGCTAAAGGACTTATAGAAAATTAGCATTCCACTCAAAGATTTAAATCGACCTGACCCGTGGGGAGGGCTTCGCCCAACCACACCCCCCAAATAGTACTAACAACACCAATCAAACAATCATTATAGCTATACAGAATGTATACTACAACAATGAATAAATATTATTAAATTAGGTACAAACAAATCTTTTTATTTTATTTTGAAAATACAAAATGTAATTGTTTACATTTTTAATATATTCCGTAGTTCTACATATAAATGATTATTATCTTTATTGTTTTGTCGCTTAACAGTAGTTAACTTCATCGGTGGAGTACGATTGCGCGAGTTTTACCTTTTTAGGGATACGATTGAGTGCAGTTCCGGAATAACAAAGAACATGATTTTGACTAGGTATTCAAAAGCGTACGATTGCACGTGAAATTGAATGCGAAAATTTGTTTGTAACAAATTTCATTTATTTCGTAATTAAGTTTTATATTTAAATACAGATACAAATTCATCCATTCAGGAAGGTTTTTAATACATTTACTTAAATACTTATTACTATAAAAAAAATATCGTTAAATATACGCAGTCTACGTCATAAAAGTAAATAACCATCGTTATAAAAAAAAATATTCATTGAAAATGGTTAAATATTCGGATAGATAAATAAATTAAAAAGTAAATAATCGAAAAAAGTTGACAAATTACATTTAATATTTTGAAGTTAAATTTTAAAGCCCCAACATATCGATTTCCAACTAAGGCTAAAAATTTAAGTACATTTTCTGTCGTTATAGTTATATTTCACACCTGTATATTTGGCAACGTTGCTAAGAAGTTAAAATAATTTAGCAATATTAATATTAAAATAATCGTACGCCTAAAAAGGTACCGCTGATAAGCACCGCGCGCAATCATGATGCACCCAACTTCATCAGCACATCGTTGGCCCTTTTGTATCCATGTTACAACATAAGGCTCAGGTACAAACATGTGCACTGGTGGCCCCACACAATTAATCAGCATAATAGAAGAAATACTTTTTGGGTTCAGAGAATTTCTTTTAGTAGACACAATATTATTTTGTTCAAATCATGGACTAAGATATAATGGACTAGAAACGACATGGTCGGTGGGGGTCGGGGGACGGCTACCAAAAGGTTCCACTATAGATTTACAAGTTTTTCAATAATAATTTACATGGGGGACGCACCGTCCCCCCGTGCAAATTAAACATATAAGAAGGGGTACGCTAAAAAAAATAAATTAGAAGGGGAGCTGCGCCCCCCCCCCCCAATTCGAGCACTGGATATAAGTATAGATACCTATGTGGTTATATAGGTATTGTACTATATTATTATCTGTCAGGTCCCTGAGGTAGGTACCTATAACTACTACGACGCAAACAGTGATTAATTTTGCATACATCACTCATCATAATAATATAATATATAGGTTAATTTGTTCGTTTTTTAGTAAGTTATCTTACTATATTTAGGTAGGTAATTGAACGATTTTTTTTTTTTGCAAAATCAAAAACATTGACAACGAGTGTTTACTAAAAGGCAACTGTCAAAAAAAAATATCTCCCCTCAAATGGCCTCAATATATATTAGGATATATACAGACAAAAGACAAACGTCAGTATATATAATACCTATAGGTAATATTATAGCCACATAGGTAATGATTGCGATTACGTACGCCTGTGGCGTATATAGGGGGGGAGGCCCCCTAGGCTAGAGCCCATAGTGAAATTGCAGGTTCAATTAAAGCATTGCAAGTATATCTACACTGTTTACAGTTTTTCACCATGATTAAGTTAGCCGGTTGATGAAAATCGTTTTTGAGGAATCAACAAGGAAATGTTAGATGGTCAGGACTTGTTTGATAACCTATAATTGACTTTGATGTTAAATTCATAGTAAGATAACATTAAAAATTTAAATACATATATAAATGACACTATCAATATTTTTTGAAAAAGAATCTAAAAATTAATTTTACATAATAATTAAATTGCGTAATTTTTATTTGTACTGTATATGTCATAATTATAATCACCCAGCTCCCTAAAAAATGTATAGTTATGGCTGTGTTAGTTGTGCTATTCTTGACTAGTGATAACTGATAAATTGGCCCATGGTGAAAATAATTCGTATACACGCCACTGACGTACGCACACTACACCACAGTACCTCACACTAAGCGTTTTTTTCGAAATACACTGTGCTTAGACATTTCACACTCGTCGAGAGCTTTTGGTTCGCCTTGACGTCGTTTACTCCACAAGGAGGAGGAGAAACGCCAAAGGCGATCAGCGGCCGCGTCTTGGTGGCAGCGTATTGGGTTTTCGTAGTCCTCATGTTGGCCACGTTCACTGCGAATTTGGCGGCTTTTCTGACGGTGGAGAGGATGCAAGTGAGCTATACCTATTATTATAATGATATGTTTCTCTATTTTGTACCCATAATCATGCGTGTGTACGCGCGTGCACTGTAATAAAACGACGTTCTATTAATTATATTATTATTTGACAATTTGTCCGCATTGTACCTACTACCTGTTGCATAATGCATAGACGCCGGTGCAGTCCTTACAACAATTAGCTCGACAGTCGAGGATCAATTATTCGGTGATTGACGGTAGCGACGCCCATCACTTCTTTCGCAACATGAAAATGGCAGAAGACATTTTATACAAGCGAGTATACCTATAATATATACCTAAATAGTAGTCAGTACTTATCTTATCTACTCATTGCACACGATCACATTTGTTATTATACCTAGTGAAAAAAAAACGAAAGCCACGGAATACTTCCGGTTTTTTTGTATTTTGGTAACTCGGAAAAAAGTTCCTATAGAATTTTCTTCTTTACTATGCCGTTGCCACGTTGTCCAAGTATAACGTGATAAGATTTTGAGAAATCCTTCAATTGCTAGATATTTTATTATGCACAGAATACTTTGGAACATTTTTAAATACGATAAATCCGTAAAATATTTTATTACTTTAAAGTGTATATAGTTTGTATCAACATTGTGCCTACCTATAGGTAAATTTTGAGTGATGTTTGGTAATGTCTAGTTTTTTTATAATCTTTTCAAGTTCAGAATTTAATTTTTGAAAACAATGATTTGTTGCTTACAACTTTAAAATAAATTGATAATATAAAAGAACACGAATAAAAGATACAAATGTCATACAGTACTTATACAATATGTCCCAGAAGTCCCGTATCACCCTTAGTATCTCCATGGAAAATCAATATATTTAAATGCAGTTTTTTCACAGTAATAAGTATGGAAATTCTGATTGAATAGCATAATATTCGATTTTTTTTTCAAAAATTCAAAAATAATCCAAATTTTTTTGGGTAAATAAGTTTTTTAAATTTCCAAAGTAGCCATTTTGTTGATCGTATTCTATAAAACAGTTCAAAAATTATAATATTATAATGTAATAAAATTTGCCCAAGTTAGAGCTAATTATTATTTTGAATTTTAGCCGAAAAATCAATTTCGATTGATTGTAATAATTATTACTAATAATTAACATGCGAATCGTATTTTTCTGATGCCTTATGCATAGGTAACATGACTATTATTCTTAGAAATTGAAAATAATAAATAGCTCTAACTTGGGAAAATTTTATTACATTATAATATTATAATTTGTAAACTGTTTTAAAGAATACGATCAACAAAATGGCTATCTTGGAAATTTAAAAAACTTATTTGCCCATAAAAATGTTTTGATAATTTTTGAATTTTTGAAAAAGAAAATTGAATATTTTGCTAATCAGTCAGAATTTTCATACTTATTATTGTAAAAAAAACTAAGGGTGATCCTAAGGGTGATACAGGATTTCTGGGACATACAGTATTTAACGATTAACGACAGTTTGACGCGAATAAGCACTCTGTCGAAGTGTGCCGTGACGCTGATCGATAGTCACGAGTTGTTACCTGCGAAAACTAAAATAACGATTTAAAAGAGTTTAATATTTTTAGTGTATGGAAAGAGATAGCATTGAATCAAACAAACAATCGAAAAGATTTTCGGGTTTGGGATTATCCGATAAAAGAAGAATATGGACAAATATTGGCGGCAATAGAAAGAACTGGGACCGTTCCGAACAGATCCGTCGGATATCAAATGGTGACCGTTGTTAATATACTTAGTGTAGTCATTATTAATAATTTATTATACATTTATACATCTGCCGTGTTCAGGTACTGGACAACGAGCAAGGTGAATTCGCTCTAATTCACGATTCGTCGGACATCGAGTATGAGGTTTATAATAATTGTAACCTGACCGAGGTGGGCGAAATATTTGCGGAAAGGCCATATTCGATAGCTGTCCAGCAAGGAAGTCTCATACAAGAGGAAATCAGTAGAAAGTAAATCATTTAATGAGATTGATTTGTATTAATAACAAAAAAAAAAAGCAGGTACCTAACCAACAACCAATTTTCTAGGATATTGGATTTACAAAAGGATAGATTTTTCGAACTATTGAACGCCAAATATTGGAATGCTTCCAAAGTGAGCATGTGCCCGAATGCTGATGACAGCGAAGGCATCACGTTAGAGAGTTTAGGTAACCACCACTATAGAAAAATAATTGAATAATATACCTAGTAATTACCTACTGTCAATAATTGTCAAAATTTTAGTTAATAATTAATATTCTATACTCCTGTCTATATATACGTATATTGGTATCCTAAACCCTATGGTAAGATATATTATAATATACCTACGACCTACCAACCTACCTACAATAATATGTGTAATCGAATAAACATTTTTTTGATTGTATTTTTTATTTTGAAAGTACTTGTTGTACAAATTTTAACTCTTAATAAAGATATATGCATAATTTGCAATGCCGCAATGGTATGAGTTATGAATGTGATTACTGATTGATTTAATAACTGACTTACTCCATTCTCCATTCGTATTAAGAAGGATTCTTGGAGGCGACCGGTTTTTGTCACCTCCACTGAGTCAACCACCTGCCGTGTAATTAAGCCACACCCCAGCACACAAATCGGACATTGAGATTCCTTCTTAACATGAACAAAGTATGAGTCTGAAAGGTCCTAATGAGTAATAATAATTAAAGTCATTCCAGGCATTACATTTATTTAAATGCTTCATTGAATAATATACTATTATCTTACATACTACATTACTAAATATATGATTATATTGTAATATTGAAATAAGAAACTTACCCTGTAAGATATAAATTGTTCGATCACGAATAGTACTAACAAGACACATAATTATGTAGGTAGCCTAACAAAAATAAAGTTTTTCTCAATGTTTAAGTAAATTAATATTCCAACATACTACATGCTTACCTCAATCTTAACATCTATATTATTATGTTTCTAGGAGGCGTTTTCATAGCTACATTAGTTGGCTTGTTGATAGCGTTGATTACGCTTGCTTTTGAAGTCGTCTATTTTAAACACAAACGAGCCAAGGTAGCTGAAGTTAGTGTTGTTAATAACACCGTTCACAAGGATAAGCTGATGTACGGTCACGAGTTATTCATGACACTGGGCAGGAATTCAAATTTGGATGATCAACCACGTTGGGCAAACAAGATCAAGCTTGATTCAACCACAGGCCGACTAAACAACGCATTATTCTTTCGTAGAAACAAATTTCAAAATTAGAACTTCAGTTGTTTGATATAATGTTTTATAATATTTATAAATATAGTATGGATAAAAATTGATTAACTAATACATTTCATAATTAAATTATTTTACAATATATATATTATACAAATGCACTAATTCAACATAACACCAAGAGAAAACGGCGGAATTTTAAATATAATCATAATACAATCAAAAAATAAAATAATAAATATAATAACAACAGATATTTCTATGACTGTGTATACATCATTAAAAATTATAAATGTAACATAACAATCGTGCAGTAATAAACAAAACGATAAGTAATCATATAGTAATTCAAGTAATTGTATTGGTGTTAATCCCACATTGACCCCTACCAATTACCTAAAAATAAAAACAAAATATAAAATAATTAGAGATTCAAATTTGATTTTCAACAACACAATACGCTTTTAGTACTATTGTAGCATTATATTATACTATTATATTTGCTTTGATTTATTTCATAACCCAACATTTTGTTTCAGAACTCGTCTACCATAAGCCCTTACTTTTTTTATTAATACCGCTAAGTATATTAAATTATTTCTTTATTTCATTGGGAGTCGATTGTAAAAGAAATTAGAAAAAAAAAGTAATCATAAATTATGAACATTCATCGTTTAAAAATTGTCAATTATCAGTACATCCGTAGTTGCATTTCAAAATAACTAAGGTTTACTAAAAATAATTGTTACATTTTACAATGAATTTCCAAATGATACCTATTATCATTGATTATAAATACTATTATTTTAGTATTTTATAAAATAATGTACTAAAAAAAATTTAATTAATTATATAATATATATTTAATTATTAATAAATTAAGTTATTTCTTTCATTGAAGTATTATAGTGAATATAAAAAAATCAATAAAATTAGATGAATTTACAAAATAATTTAGAACAAATTCTTTATTTATTCTCAAATTTATAAAACATTGGGACAACAATAACCTGAACTAATTAATATTATTTATTGGAATTATTTAATTTTCTTATACATTATGTACAGTATAAAAATATCTTGTAATAACAGTCAAATGTTTTCATGATGATTACATTGTTATATTATATACCATAAATTGCTCACAATTAATGAATATAACACGCATTGTAGGCAACAAAATTGATTCAAACATTAAAAATAATACAAATAAAGAATAAAGTTTTAAATATAAAAAATTTTATATTTTATAAAAAAAAATGCACCGATTAGTTTGATTGGATTTATTGGGATTCAGTTATCACAAGCATACTATAAATCATGAAATATTTTGAACTGGAATTATCAATAGATAATTAATTTATAGTAATATCTTTAGAGTAATGAACATTCTTATTGGAAAAAATTGTAGGAAAATAATTTATGTATTAAGTATCATTGGAAAAATATTATTGTATAACACTGTAACAGAATAATACAACAACTATTTATTTAAAAAAATAAATTATCATTTTAAAACGAATATAAGAAATAATGTTAATAAGTAAATAAAGATGAATAATAATCAAACATTATTTTTTATATAAAATAATTACACTTAATAGATTATAACATAAAAATCGATAATTTTCTTTAATTATTTTAAAGCAAACCAGTACAATAGTGGGTACTCAAAATAATATGTTTACCATTTCTGTGTGTGCTAACTGAGCAAATTGCGAATTTCCTTATGCATGTGACACAAAAATTCTACATAAGATGGACTATTGTCGATGCCATGATCTTCAACTAAGAAATGTCTCATAACAGTTTCAATTTTATCTTTTTGCCGTATAATTGAAAGCTGTAAATAAAATATAACGTTAAGCACACCCGAATACCTGATATAAATTAGATTAATATTTAGCTATAGAAGTATACATACTCTCATTGTGTGGCTTCGTTCTTTTTGAATTTTAGACAGCACCTGACGAATAGCTTTGTTGAGTGGATTATCCAACACAGGAATGGCAGAATTTTCAGTATTAACATATGTAATGTTCTGAACACCAAACACGTCTGACAAAAATGTTTGACTTACACCCATACCAAGCCACATAAACATATATACTCCATTTTCTAAACACAAAAATATTGTTAAAAAATATAATAAATGTATTTATTGTTGCAAAAGTAAAAAAAATGCTGTTTACCCAAAATATAAGCTCCATTTTCTGCAAACTTTTCAATAGAACACCTCAATTGATCTGGTATTGAAACATCATCCAAAAGTTTTTCATCAGCAAGTGTATGGATGGGAATCAGACGTGGATAGAAATAACCCAATGTTGTAGGTATATCCGCAGTGATAACCAGATGCATGTTAAACCAACGATCGTCAACTGTCAGATCGGGACCTACACAAAAAAAAGGACATGAATCATTTATTTTTATCATAGGGAAGTACAATAAATAACATACCACCAGACATTGCATCACTTTTAATTAAACAATTAACATATAAGGGCATAAGTTTCATGCATTCAGGCAATATAAGTTGACCAGCTGAAGATGGTGATGCACAATGCTTTCTATAAGTAGCTAGTATTTGAGCAGTTTTATTAGTAATTGCGTCCTTTACTTGTCTTCCAGAACTTTCCAATATTTTATACATAACTAAATAAAAGTATAAAATTAAAATACAACTTCAAAATTCAATCTGTACCATATACCACATACCTTGTTTTCCAAAGAAATTCATTATTGTATCTAAGTCACAACTACGATATAATTCACCCATTTGTCCACTAGAACGTAATGATAGATTTAATATACGCACACGTCTCTGTCCACTACATGACGTGTATAACATGGCTGTTTGTACTAGTACTCCATCTTGTTCATCAAGCTTATCATCATGTTTCACTTCAATTGCAATAGCCTGGAAATACATGATATTAAACAATTAATTAAGTGTAAAAAAATCAACATAACATATGAGTATTTGACAAAAAGTTCACTGATTTGAATTGACTAAGAATACAGAGGAATAGTGTTGTGTTTTGTTATTTGTATTACATATTATAAATTTAAAATTATTAAATAATTTACTGTCAATTTAAGTGGTTATGATAGTTGTATGTACTTTAAAATACTTTAAAGGTGTCTCATAGGGGTCAATGGAGTTTTTTAACATAGGGTCCAAATGTTGCTCAAGTATAGATGGGTATTGATAGAAGGTAAATATGATGTTTTATCAATAGATATAACAATCTTATGGTGGGTAGTAACTAAAATGTTTTAAACGACACAATTTTTTTTTATATATACGCTACAAATATGGGTTCACATTATTTTATATGGCAACCCCGTTTATAGTAGCTTATTCTGAAGGTTATATTTTAAAAACAATATGTGTAGTATTCAAGGATAATACTTTAAAGTCAATAATATGTAGTGAGAGTGTATATCACATTGTACATATTTTGAGGTTACTTACCTAGCAAATCATCAAAAATTAATGTAAAAATAATATTTAAAAAAATTAAAAGTTTAAGAACTTACTTTATCACAATCAATTGCAGCTAACTCAACATCGGTAGAATTTGACATAAAAAAATGCCCATAGAAATCAGTTGGACGAGTACCAGTAGATGTTCGTACTCGCATTACAGCATCAAAAACAGTTGGCCGGCTAATGTCATGTTTTAAATCCGACAAGAATCGTTGACCATCAACTTCAGCCTAAATTTAAAAAATGTTAATAGTATTTTGAGAAAATGACAACATGAACATATAAGAACAAAACATTAACACAAGAACTTACTTGGAAATATGTGTATTTGAAAATTTCACCGCCACTAATTTTAGAAATCTGACCAATAGTAGGTAGATCTATAAAAGAGTTGTTAGTGATGAATAGATCAACACTACATCCAACTTGAACACATTCCTCTCCTAATTCTTTATACACATTTGTTTGCGGGTCTGTTTAAAGAAATGTTTATGTATAATTCATCAGAAAAATTTAAAAATTATTCAATATTTAACTTACTCAACATCGTTTTTTCTTTATCGGTGGCAAGTAATTTTCTATCTTCCCGATTCTTAAGTTTACCCGGAGCTTCTGCTATTGGTAAGGATGAATGGAATACAAATAATTTACCACAACAATCGGCATTCTAAAGAAACAATGTTTTGAAAATAAATAATTAAAGATTGCTAAGATCCCTATTAGAAAAAGAAGATAACATATTAACATTATTATTCAATTATTTTAAGAACAGATCTTGCAATATTGCGAAACAAACCATACCTTTAAGGCTTCCATTCCGGCCTTTATTGCTGGAAGAAGAATAGTTTCAGTAACCCTTGTTTCATTGAAATTAGTAGGAATTTGTTCCATAAGTGCATCGATAACTTGAGATGATTGTTCTGGATCACATAAGAACCCATCTAACAATGGCATAAAAACTTCTGAAGTGTCACCAACAATCATCATTTGAGGAACAGCTAATGTTTCCTGAAATTTATGTATTTATATATTTATTTATTCAACTATATTTAGAAATATACAGTAGAAATTTCATAGATTATTAGTTGATACCTACTCTCTATAAGCAAAAGCTTGTGTTGAGAGTAGGGAATTATATTTAATTATGTATTTTAATTACTAAGGTAGTTGTAGATGTATTATTCATTTTGTCTACCTATTAGAATTTAACATTCAACATTCCCCAACATTTAAATGTTCACATTAAATTTATGTTTATACGCAATCATCAATACTAATGATTTAAAACGGTTATTAAAATAGACGTGTCCAGTCACACAGTATTATATATTCAAATATATCAAAAATTAAAATTTGTATTTTTAATACAAAAGCATAAAAATTAAAATATGTATTATTTATTAATATTAATTAGGGATTCGTTTAGTATGTGATCTACCTGTATTACCGGGTTTAGTGTGTGACCGAAAAAGAAGATTATCTTTATTATGTACGGACAACATACGGAAATCAATCTATTAACAGGAGTTACATTTTTTAAATTTTTTAAGTGATATATACTGATATATTTTTTTAAATAAATTTATTTTATTTTATAACATATTTTGACTAATTTTGACATATTGCTGTAATAAGTATGTGAATTTAATATTTATAATTTTTTTTTTTTTACTTATATTTTGTTTGACTGATTTTGATATTATTGAATGTAATCCCTGTATTATTTTATATTTGTATAACTAACTAATCAATAATATAAAAAAAATATGATTATAATGATTTTTAATTTAACTGTTTTTAAATTAATTATCAGTCTGTTAGGCCAAATACTAAACGAATACCATTAAGTTTTCTAATAAAATTATGATAATATATATCTACTACAAATTTACTTACTATAAATTTAGTACATTTCTAGTAGATATGTATAATTATCAACTAGAAAGTTGATAGTGGCCAATGGCCCATAAAAACAAACCATGGGTATACTTGTATAGTGCTGCAACTAGTGAGGAGCAGGGGGTCAGTGCTCTGAGAATGAGGCCCGACGTGGAGCATTTCAAAGTTAACGAAAACAAATGAGTGAAAGTTTATGAAATCTGTCACTATTTGTTACCAAAATGTAAATACTAAATATACTATCCTAATATGCCACAACGGTCTATAATAGTTGTTATTAGTAAATTACCTATTTTTAATTTTATTGGACGACAAATATATTGATATGAGAGTAGTTCTATAAAGCCGGCCTTTTATCTAATGATATTTTATAATTTATTTATATAACTATTAGTAATTTATTTTTCTATTAATAGTATCGTATGTTGAATTTATTTTGTCATCAAAATTACATGCATATAATAATATAATATTAAATATTAGATCATTGTTATTAACTTAAAAGCCAATACCCCATACCATAAAACAGTATGAATAGGTTTGTGGTATAAATATCTTAAAATCAATCTAAATATTGTATTGTGCATAAAAAATAATAATATATTATGTAATAGTAAATTGTTTCTAGGCTCTCTGATTCTTTTTTTTGAATTTCAACATAACTATTTGTATTGTACTAACATAACTAAAAGTGTCCATAAATATAAATGCAGCACTGTACTTGTGTCTCTTAAGAGTACGCCACACCCGGATGTATTGACTTTGTCTTACACACGAGTAACATACCAAATTGAAGCTCAGAAATTCAAGTTTTATGCCATTAGCTTAAAAATTAGAGTGAATCGACCTATTTTTAAACTTGATGGTTATCAATAGTTATCAAGAACATTATCTGTGTTTTGATGGAAGTTTTTTACCATAATTCAGTTTTTAAGTGGGTTATGAGCATTTTTAATTCATATTTATTAGGTATACACGCATCTCACTTAAAAACTGAATTATCAAAAATTTCCATCAAAACACAGATAATATTCTTATCATAAATTTTCATAATTGGTCGATTCAATCTAATTTTTATGCTAACGGCATAAAAATTGAACTGCTGAGCTTAAATTTGGTATGTTACGCGTCTGTAAGACGGAGACAACACATGCGGGTGTGGCGTCCTCTTAACTACATTGACACTAACACTGTAACACTGTTTTAGTTATGAACATATGTACATGTGTAATGGATACCACTTATCAAAACAACATTTCTTCAGCTTGAGTCTACAGGTTAAAAATTAAACATGTTTTGCTTAAGACAAAGAGGGTGCACTTTTTGTTTTCTCTATCTGGCCCATGCGAAACATAGCAAATTGTGTTCAGCAGGACCAAACTTGTGTTATATGCCACTATAACTAATACTATAACTAATACTATGTATTCTAAGGTTTTGTATTAGAGTGAACTAACTTAAAGTTAAGAATATTATAATATGTGTACTTATGTTGGCTTTTTCACAATATTTAAATTTTAAAGCAAGTTATGAGTATTTTTAAATTGTTACATTATACACTCATAACTCACCAAACAATTGACATATCGTAAGAACAAAGATAATGTTCACTCGAAAATACTTATTTTGTGTTTTAATAAAATTTTACAATCTAAATTTAACTTAAGTACAGTTATATTTTTTTCTTACCTTTAAATTATAAAAATGAACAGTTGTATCATAAGTTATAAAACCAACACGTATTTTACTTTTTTCATTTCCCAACTCTGTTGGTAATTGAGTTAATAATTCTTTCATGAACGCACATATGAGTTTAACAAGTCCAGACTTTATATTATTATAAGAAACATCTATTACAAATATATATGCAGGAGGTTTTGGTTGCATTTCTTTCTGGAAAATACAAATAAAAACATTATATTAAATTTAACTAATACAGATTACTTATCAATAATAGAATATATTTATTATTTTAAAAAAGTAGATGCCAGATACTATATCTGAAACAGTTATACCATAGTAGGTGAGGGGTCGGCAACCTTTTGAGACGGAAGAGCCAAAAGTTACAATAGTACATAATATATTTGCTTATATTATAATATATATTTGATTTTTGATTTAAAATAAACGAATTTAAACAAGAAATAATATTTATTACTATAATAACAAATATTTTTCACACAAAACGAATTCAATATTTTTTATATAGTAAAATGGTTAATTTTTGAGTATGGAACTGAAGAATCGCAGGTTGCCGACCCCTGGATTAGGTAATGCAAAGAATAATGATAGAATGTGGTAACAATTTAATCATAATCATAATAGTTAACTACTAGGAAAAAAAAGTGTAGTTAAGCAAATTAATTTTAGACACAATATCAATGAAGCAAGGAGTTAGAGAAAGCAATTTAAATAATTAAAAGAACATCTTAAATATGGAACTTTGAAATCAGCTAATACAGAATGGCTAACACACATACCATAAAATAAGACACAGAGTTAAAATACGGCATGGAACCATTCTCGGATTGAAAAAATAATTAAAATTTATCATGTCACTCTTTTACTATATGTATAATAAGTGAGTAGACAATCCTACTTTTAATCAGAATCTACACTGGTGTGTGGTCATGAGTTTATAACTAACAGGACTCTCAGTCTTGTGAAATTTATTCTTAACACATTCAACGCTGTTAGAGTGTCATTACAAGTTTTAACTTTATGTAAATTATGCATTTACGAGTCACATCTATTGTACTCCAACTGACCATAACCAAACTTATTTAAGAAGCCTATAAAATATTATTTATTATTATACATACCCTACAATATTCTTTTGGAACGATAAATTCATATGATCCAAAACCTAATTCAGGCCTTTCAGAGCGGTCAAGCCGTTGACCAGTATGATCCAAGTGTTGGAAATATTCAACTGGTACTAAAAAACCAATTGCATTTTGTTAAAAATTAATTTTTTATATAAGGAAACTAAAAAATTACCTTCTGTTGTAGCTTTACATAAAAGGCAAGTAAAGTGTTTTCCACCATCAATAAACTGCATAAATGGACTCATGTAAGCTTTACACCTCTTACATCTAACTGGTCCAATTTCACCAGTATTTATAATGGGTAGAGGATATTCATCTGGTTTCATTTTTGCCAATGGACTGATAACTAATCCAAATGGTACAGATGTCTACAAATATTTTAAAAGTAGTTATTTATAATATCAATTATTTATAACTAAAATAAAATTGTATTTACCTGTTTCATAATGTCTGTTGTAGTAGGTACACAATACATAGTTGATCTTATCAATCTAGGTGATGCATTACCAGAATCTTGTACTGTGAAATCTGTAGTAACCAAAGGGGGTACTAAACCTCTTTGATTAGTTAAAAATAAACCACTTTTACTCAGTTGGTCATCTTGTATAACTTGAACCTGAATATAATTAAATATTTTAATTTCTGATCAACCAACAAATCCAATGTGATTAAATACTTACTGGGCTTGGCATTTGGTCAGGATCTAATCTTCTACTTGGAGCTGGCTGACCCATATAAGCTGGTGTACCTTGATTAAAACCTGGCTGTTGAGTTGGATACCCAGGTTGTTGAGGTGGATAACTAGGTTGTTGAGGATGAAAACCATTTTGTTGCTGTGAATATACAGGTTGTTGGGGTTGTTGAGGCTGTTGAGATGTTAAGCCTGGCTGTTGAGGTGGATAGCCTGGTTGTTGTGATAGTAAATTACGTGTCTGAGGAGGAAAACCCATTTGTTGAGATGGTAAACTTCCTGATTGAGGAGGAAAACCTTGTTGCTGTTGAGGTGGAAAACCAGACTGCTGCGATATTAAATTAGGTTGTGGAGGAAATCCCGGCTGTTGCAGTGTTGAATTTGGTTGTGGTGGAAATCCTGGCTGATGCGATGAATTTGGTCGTGGTGGAAAGCCTGGCTGCTGCAATGTTGAATTAGGTTGTGGTGGAAAGTCTGGCTGCTGCAATGTTGAATTAGGTTGTGGTGGAAAGCCTGGCTGCTGCAGTGTTGAATTAGGTTGTGGTGGAAAGCCTGGCTGCTGCAGTGTTGAATTAGGTTGTGGTGGTAAACCGGGCTGCTTCAGTATTGAATTAGGTTGAGGAGGAAATCCTGGCTGTTGCAGTATTGGATTCGGTTGTAGCGGAAAACCTGGCTGCTGTGACATGGAATTTAGTTGTGGTGGAAATCCTGGCTGCTGCAGTGTTGAATTTGGTTGTGGTGGAAATCCTGGCTGCTGCAGTGTTGAATTTGGTTGTGGTGGAAATCCCGGTTGATGCGATGTTGAATTTGGCCGTGGTGGAAAGCCTGGCTGCTGCAGAATTGAATTAGGTTGTGGTGGAAAGCCTGGTTGCTGAGTTGATGAATTTGGTTGTGGTGGGAAACCTGGCTTCTGCAGAGTTGAATTGGGCTGAGGTGGAAATCCTTGTTGCTGCAATGATGAATTAGGTTTTGGTGGAAAGCCTGGCTGCTGTGGTGTTGAATTTAGTTGAGGTGGGAAACCTGGCTGCAGCAGAGTTGAATTGGGTTGAGGTGGAAAGCCTGGCTGCTGAGATAATGGATCAGGTTGTGGTGGAAAGCCTGGCTGCTGTTGTGTCGAATTAGGTTGAGGTGGAAAGCCTGGCTGCTGAAATGATGAATTTGATTGCGGTGGAAAGCCTGGCTGCTGAGATGTCGAATTAGGTTGTGGTGGAAAACCTGGCTGCTGAAATGATGAATTTGATTGCGGTGGAAAGCCTGGCTGCTGAGATGTCGAATTAGGTTGTGGTGGAAAACCTGGCTGATGTGATTTTAAATTTGTTTGTGGTGGAAAACCTGCTTGCTGAGGTTTTGAATTTGCTTGAGGTGGTGGAAAACCTGGCTGCTGTGGTGTCGAATTAGGTTGTGGTGGGAAACCTTGCTGCTGCTGAGTTGAATTGGGCTGAGGCGGAAAACCTGGCTGCTGAAATGATGAATTAGATTGCGGTGGAAAGCCTGGCTGCTGAAATGATGAATTAGATTGCGGCGGAAAGCCTGGCTTCTGTGGTGTCAAATTAGATTGTGGTGGGAAACCTTGCTGCTGCTGAGTTGAATTGGGTTGAGGCGGAAAGCCTGGCTGCTGAAATGATGAATTAGATTGCGGTGGAAAGCCTGGCTGCTGTGGTGCTGAATTAGGTTGTGGTGGAAAACCTGGTTGCTGCTGAGTTGAACTAGATTGAGGTGGAAAGCCTGGTTGCTGAGGTGTTGAATTGGCTTGTGGAGGAAAACCTGACTGCGGCAACATTGAATTGGGTTGAGGTGGAAAACCTGGTTGCTGCTGTTTCAAATTTGATTGTGGTGGAAAACCTGGTTGCTGTGGTGTGGCATTAGATTGTCTTGAAAAATCTGATTGAGTTATTGAATTAGACTGTGGCTGAAAATCTGGCTGTTGGTGTGACACTTTTGATTGTTGTTGTGGATAATTTGATGGCTGAGATTGATACTCTAATTTTTGAGTAGATAAATCTGATTGGGATGGAACATTTTCATTCAAATGTGGTTGTTGATCATTGCCTGAATACGGTTTTTGAGGACGAGATTGAGGTGGAACAACAGAAAAAGCTGATTGAGTTGGTTGAGAACCAATTTGATTCGTAATCAAATTTGAGTTATTTGTACTAAATTCTTTAGATTTTGCATACATTGCCTCTCTTGAATTATTTGGTGTGCCATTATCAAAATCTCTCGACTCTTGATTAATAATTCCATCATGAATATTTGATTGAATACTATTTCCAGGAAAAGAAGATGGAGGTACCATATTTTTAGTATTATCTTGAAAATTATCTGAAGAATGTACATTTTGATTAGAACTTTCTACAAAAGGTGCTGATGAAGAAAATTGCTTGGGAGGCCCAGTCAGTTCAACATCAAAATTGGCTGGTGGATATGATTGTGGAGTATTTACTCGTGGTCCACTTGAAAAATTGCTATTATCACTTGGCTAGAATAATAAAATAATATCAAATTTTTGATATATTGTGTATTTTTATAAATAATAACAAAATTATAAATTACCAAATTATTGTTTTGAACTGGTGGTTGTGATCGTCCGTTATTAAATCCCAGTTGTGAAAATTGATCATTCAACGGTCCTTCAGCCTGGTTATAAGACGGTCCATCTATAATTTAAAATGAATAATATAGGTATAACAAATTGTATTTTTAACATTAATCTTAAACATTCATAGATATTCAAAACACATTCTACTTAGGTACTACACAATATTTTAAATAAACTTAAGTGTTAAATTCAGAAAACAGATGTTAAAAAATATTGAAATAACAGTGATAACACTAGAAATGGCCGGATTTATTTTAATAAAATTAAAAATATTATATTGAACCAATATTTAAAACATAAATTCCACTGTTTACGTATTTTTTTTTAAATTTGATAACGACAGGTACCTACCCGATTCTAAAAAGAAGTTTTAATTCCTAAGCCTATAAGTTAATAATGTATACAATTTAATATTCTCCACTCAAAATAAGTATTCAGCATTTTATGTAGTAGAACATCTGACTATTATCAATTTAAAATATTTATATTTGAAAAACAATAAATCAAGGCTTTTGGTTTAAAGGTCAATAGTTATAAAAAAAAGAAAAGGTAAACATTTTATATTTAATCGTTACATTCTCCACCATACTTGTTACCAGTATAAATCCAAAACATATCAGTGTAAACATTCAAAGGGCTTGTTACTTACAGTTGGCTGATGAATTGTGTTGACCGTTTTGTTGTGACGGTGGAGGAGCGCCATAATGTTGTGGTGGACGCTCTTGTGAAAACTGAGGATTATTCATTTCTCGTTCAACTAAAACAAAAGGTACATGTGTATACTACAAAAACAATCAAGTCATAAGGTGATGATCTATACACATCAACTTATAATATGACAGGTGAGCATATTATAGTACACACTCTTACCAGTTTGAAAATATCCCAAAATATTGGAAAATGCCAACTGGAAATCGTTGAGTTCTCTTCACTCGGACATTTACAATAAATTTCAACTGTACCGATGTACTTAGATCTTAAGTCTTAACATCATACATGATACATCAACTGGTCAGCCGAAAACAGTGAAAACGCTATACGTGCCACGTAAGTGTGCATTGCGCATGCGCCACCAAGGCCACGTTCCGAACTATTTCGTAGCCAATTAGACGGACGGGAAACCGCGGGATTAATATCAATTTCAAAATTCTGTTAAATCAAATTTTCCAATCAAACATTATAGGTGCCCAGGGGCTAGGACAGTGGTAAAATTATACATCGCCGACAGTCATATTTACGTTACGATATTATTGATACACGTCCTAGTGATTGAGAATCGTTTCAAGACCTAAACCAAAATCTAGGTAGAAATGCACACACACAATGTTAGCTGTTCATATAGATATTACATAGATTCTACCACCGTGAGAATAATATAATATTTTGCTCATAATTCCATTTGGGGTATCAATTAGTAAACACTAATTTTCTCGAAAATAATTAAAGATTATGAGACATTTTTTTTACCTATTTTAAAGTCAAAGACAAAACAATATTTCGAAGAAAAAAATGTTTGTTGTTATTTTTATCGTTATCATTTTTTAAGATTTTTACTCTTAAGTTTTTTCTCTTTTTATCATTTCTTTGGCTTACTATATTATTGTGTTTTATTTCATATATTAAAAACACAATATTTATTTAATAATTAATGCACTTTCAAACTAAAAGATAATTATTTATAACTATTATTTAACCTACGTATTTAAAGTGTAGATAAGTGGATTCACAGAACAAACATCTCGCGTGTACCACACCTAGTCCCCCCCTCCCACCTGTTTCCTACCTATCCACTTGGCTCATCTATACTTTTATTACTTATAAAATATTAGTATAATTTATTTATGAGGATGTCAGCGCACTATTTGTTTTCTCTCTCCGGCCTACGAGCAGCATAGACAAAACGCATTTACGCAGAATCATTTTAGATTCTGAGTGGAACGATGAATGTATTGATTTTACAATGATGTGTGTTTTTTTTTTTTTTAAATTTTTTTTTTGTGTCTGTGTACATGATAAGTAGTCGAAATAATGCTTCGATTTTCGACTTCAGTATCTTGTTCGATTGGAAAGTGAATATCGTTGGTGTGTTGGGGAGGTCAAAATTTAAAATTCCCAGTACTTTTCAAAAGCGCCATAAGGAAAACAAAAGAAAAATTAAGGAAAAACGGGAATTTTTACGCAAAATCGATTTTTCAGAAAATTGAATTTGGTTTTTGGTGTAACTTTAAAACAAATGACCGTAGATACATGAATTTTTCACTGGTTGTTTATATTTGCATTTTTCTATACACGATAACATTTTCAAAATATTTTGATTTATTTTGAACTGTTTAGGGACATTTTCATTTTCATTTTTTTTTAGTTTTTTTTCTAGAAATATCAATAAAATTTTATTTGTTGGTTAAAAAAACTTGAAAATTTAATAGAAGGCTCCTAGTATATTGTTTCAAAGGCAGATGAAAAATACTAAAAATCGTTAGTCACAGATTTTTTTATAAGCCTTTAAAGTTCAAAAATTGACAAAATAAGGAAAAATCACAAAAATTAGCAAATTATTTTGAGTTAAGAATTCGTAAAAATTTTTCTTTTTAAATCTAAGATTTGAAAATGTAATACAAGATTACTCATAAGTTTGTCTACCTTTATCAATAAAAAAATCTCTACCGGACAGTCAAATTAAATTTTTATGAGCGTTGGAAATTCAAATTTTTACAACATTGGATGTTCACTCGATTTCTCATGTAGCGATTTCCTTATTTTGTTGTTATTCATAAACGAATAACTATAGATACATGAAAATTTCACTGAATGTTTATATTAGTATTTCCTATACACCTTACAATTTTGAAAATATTTTGACTTTTTTTGAGCTGTTAACGGATATTTTCATTTTTCAATTTTTTTAGTTTTTTTTTCTATGAATATCAATAAAGTTTTATCTGTTAGGCCAAAAAGTGTAAAAATTTAATACAATGCTCCTGATATATTGTTACAATATCAGTTGAAAAATATTAAAAATACATAGGCACAATTTTTTTTATAAGGATTTAAACATCGAATTTTGACAGAATTTTTCAAAATCTCGAAAATTATTGATCATCGTAATTAATAAATTATAAAATGTTCAACTTTTATAGCTAAAGATTGAAAATTTAAAACAAAGGTTCTCATAAATAGACAATAGTTCATACTGTAACCAAAAAATCTAAAAAATACAGTAGCACAGTTTATTTTTGTAGTCATTTTAAGTTCAAATTTGGACGAAATTACATAATAAAAAACCTAGAACAACTATTTTAGTAATTATTTTGTTGTGATTGTATAATATTATTCGTGGGTACTTGAAACTTCTAAAGTACACTATTATAATTAGGGCACGGATGATGTTGCATTTGCAACTTTTTTTCTACTTTTTCAATTAATTGCTAAGTAAGTTTTAAATACGTTTCATGTAAGTACGAATTCAAATCTAAAAGTTTTAAGTGCAATTTTTTTGCAATTTTTGGAATTTTTTTCAATTTTATTGCAATTTTGTCGAATTTACTCATTTATACAACTATTTTAGCAATATTAAAACTTATATATGACTTAAAACCATTATTAAAATCAATGATATACTAACTGGACAAAGAAAATCGTTCGATGGTTTACCCGAAGACTTAACAGTAAGCGATTTATCTTATTTTAAATACGCTCCGCTTACATCAACCGACGTAGAATGAAGTTTTTCGAGATATAAGAACTTACTAGCTCCAAATCGAAGAGGGTTTGATTTCGAAAATTTAAAACAAACACTTATAGTACAGTGCAATGATGTATATAATATAATAAATTTATAATGGCATGATTATAATGTAATGTATATATTTTTTTTTTAATTATTTAGAATTTTAGATTATAATTTATAACAGTAATGTCAGTAAACTTAAAACATTTATAACAAAACGTTGTTATTTTTTAGTGCAATTTTTAATATTTTTAGTGCAATTTTTGGTATTTTTTAGTAAAATACTGCAATCAATTTTACTATTTTTTTAGTACTACAACATCCGTGCCCTAATTATAATATAATAGCTATGATAGTATCACGGTTTGTTGTTGATACCTAACCTAATGGATATTGTGATATGATTAATTTGGAAATAATTATAGGTCAATTTTTTTTTTAATACCATAGATATGTACCTATATAATACGTCTTAAATCTAGACTGACATACCGGTACCGTCTTCGCTCAGAATCGTTTTTCTTATACAATGATATTGTATCATTGAATTCAAATTTAATAGCATCCATTATACAGTGACCTACTGGCCACTTGTAACCTATACTGTACAGCAGAGCGACATCCACTTACCCACCTTTTTTTCTATGTTTTTAAGTAATCTCAGAGTAAAATCACCAATTACGAAAAAGATAGAGAATAATGTTTTTGAGAGAATGTCATGAATTGTATATTTTAATTTTAAATTATAGGTATTTAAATTGTTTTGAGACAATATTTAGACAAACCGATACTTCATTCCCTCGAAAATATTATTGTCTGTCTTTTTTGAAATGGGTGATTTTACTCTAATAGATTACTTAAAAATATAGAAAAAATGAATCAGCGTAAATGCGTTTTGTCGCGCTTGGGCCAGAGAAAGAAAACAAATATTGCGCTGACATCCTCTGACGAGGACGTGATATCCGCATGTGTTGTCTCTGTCTTACAAGTGCGTAACATGGCAAATTTTACGCTCAGCAGAACACGTGTGTTGCTCTGTTAATTTAAAAATTAGAGTGAATTGAGCTCTTGTAAAATCTAAATGTAAGATTATTACCTGGGCAATCTCTCGGACTTTTTATTATATTTTAATTTTAAAGCGAGTTGTGAGTACTTTAAAATTATAAATTGGTTGTACATCTTAAAATAATCATATAACTCGCTTTAACATTAAAATATAATAAAAAGCCCAAGGGTTGCCTGGATAATAATCTTACATTTAGTAGATTTTATAAGAGGTCAATTCACTCTAATTTTTAGACCAACAGAGCTACACGTGTTCTGTAATCTGTATTGAGAGCAAAATTTGATCTGTTACACACTTGTAAGACGGAGAGTGGAGACAACACATACGGATATCAAGTCCTATTAAATTTATTTACTGTTATAGATATATAGATATTTAAACATTTCGGTACCAATTTTCAAGCCTGGGCAAGTTAATGAAAATTTTTAACTGAGTTAAGTTAAGTTAATGGAAAATATTTTAAAAAGTTTAAAGTTAACAGTTAACCTAATTTTTTTTTAACTCAGATAAGTTAAAAGTTATATGAACATTTTCAATTAACTTATTAACTTAAGTTAAGTTAAGTTAATTTTTTTTTTTCATAATACAGTAAAACTCCCGTAAACGGTCACCTCTATGTAATGGTCATTTTTTTTGGTGTTATCCTACATCTGTAGGACGGTCACCTCTAAATAGCATTATTTACAGACCCTTTGGTGACCGTTACATGGAAGTTCTACTGTATCTATATAAACACCCAGTAATATGGTTTAAAATAATAAAAATCATAAATATTATTGAACACATGAAATAGCCAATAGCTTTTCTATACATAGGTAGGTACTGAATTAATAGAATAATTCTACCTACCCATAATTATTATATAGTAGGTACACAATTCACAATAATCACTGAAACGCGGTATTGTAAATCCGAAATCGTGTGTTGCGTGCCGACAGAGCCGAGAACGAAAAGTGACCCCATGTGGGCTATGAATATTTTGTCTACTGACAATATTGACTGTTTATAAATATAAACATTTGAAATATAAATGTACATGGGCACAACCCAATTAGTTTTAATTTAAAAATAACCTATTTATGCCGAAAATATTTTACATTATGTTCTTCAGAATTGTACATTTTTGATTTGTATCTATATCAAAATAATAAGATAATAGGTTTATCATATTACTTATTATATAGTTATTAGTATTTATTAATTATTATTATTACAATATGCCCGTATGCCGCTGTATGGTACGGTATATCTTTATATATACGATACACCTCTATGTTATAATATAATTGGCTATTGGCTATTGCATAATATTATTATATCTATACCTATGTATTTAATCGAGTTATTTTTCTTGAAGAATTCTGGTTAACGGAACGAGAAATTAATTTAACTATATTTGTAATTTCCTATTCTAATAAATGGTTATGTAATATCAATAATAATTTTTTTTTATTATATTTATTATTTAATTATTTATAAATTAACTTAACTTGAATTTGATTAAAAGTAACTCGTTATTTATTAAGTTTATATCAATTAAAATAAGTTAAGTTAAAAATTAAGTTAATGAAAATTAAATTTCAAAAAGTTAAGTTAAAAGTTAAAATTAGCTTAACTTTTAACTTTTTAACGCGTTTATGCCCAGGCTTGCCAATTTTACCCTAGAGGAGAGAGCAGAGGCAGACTGGATACTTTTGATCCAGGGTGCAAAATTAATGCCCGTAATTTTTTTTAAACTTACTAAAATTAGGAAAGAATTCTACAATAAAATAAGAGTTAAATTTAAGATAGGAGTGATAGGACATAAAAGTCCGAAAATGATATCACGTATTTTTAAAAAATTTACTGTTTTATAGTTATTTTGGTACAACTTTTAAATTAAAAAAATGGGAGGATTTTTGAATTGGACTTTTGTACCTATTCGGTGCTTTAAAAGTTAAAACACACATTATAGTTTTAAGGTAAATTATGAGTATTTTAAAATTGTAAATTGCTTGTACATTTTAAGATAGTGCTCATTAATGTTAGGTATTATAATACGTTATTACCTGCTATTACAGTTAGACAATAAATTCGACAATTTTGGCAATGATTGGTACTTGATAATCTGTTTTTTAAACACGTTTGAATCAGAAATAGATACTTAGCATAATATTAGATCCAACGCCTAAAATTTTATAAGTCAGCAACCCATATGTTTTCGGGGGGACAAACTTGTCAATGTATTAGACAAGACGCGGTTTTTAATGAGAACTGTAAAAAAATATATTTTACTCTCGCAGACACTGTAAAGACACCTCTCAATTGTGGTGGTCCAAAATTGGTCAAATTCCGTACATGACACTATTTAAATACTAATGACACCAAAAACACCTCTTTGACACTACTGGTCCAGCATCGGGTCAGGAGACAGTCCAAACACCAATTTTCAATAAATTATTTCTAATTATTATACAGATTATAAAATTTTTAGTTTATTATTTTGTCTATCTTTTTTATAAATGTCAGTACACTTCTGATAAAACTGTTTGAATCTTCCACAATTAATATAATAGTTACCTATTTAATTACTTAAACACATTTGATTAACTCCAACACACTTCAAACACAGAAAAGTAATTGTATACCATCTACGCATGGTCATATAAGGGTATATTTAAATTTCATGATATATTATCTAATTTAAGCTGCAAGTACCTATGTTCTAACCAAAATATCATTTAAATTAAAATAAAACATAGATTATTTTCGTTTTAGTAATATAATTTCTCCATTATCGATATGTTTGTCACACAGACAGAAATTTAAAAATTAAGAAAGTTTAATTTTGCTAAATAAAATATATAACGCATTATATAAATATATAATGTAATATAAGCACAACACCATTTTGCACAATTTTTGTACATAAATGGAGTTAATGACAGGTGTTTATTTGATAAAATTGTGTAATATTTTGAATGCAATGAAAAATATTACTCTTTAGCCTAGTCCAGTCCATTAATAATGTAAAAGACTTCTAGGAATGTATACAACAGTTTTCAACAAATATTAAATAATAATTATATGGTCATTATTTATTCATTACATTATTAATATTAACCACTGATATCAATACTTTATAAAAGGACGGAACTCAATTGATAATTCATCGAAAATAAACTGTACTATTTGATTATAAAAACATATAGAATTACAATTTAATTGCAAATGTTTCACCTATTAACTAATATTTTAAGGAATAAATCACTCAACTCTTTAAACATAGATTAAGAAGTCAAGTGAATTTTTAAACAGTAAAAAGATTAACTAAAAACAAAATACTTGATTACATTTATAAAATAATAATTATACATAGTAAATCAAGTAATATTATATTGCAACAATTCAAGGGCAGATCTGACCAAAATATCTGGTAGATTTACATGGGGAAGAAATAGTCAAGCATACCCCCTTAAACACAAGAGATCTGATCCTGACAAAAAATTGTTTTAGAGTTAACAAAGACTAGATAATGATAATTAAATATTAAGTTAACATAAATATTTTTTTTATAATAATAATAAAAACAATTCATTTCATTCTATGCTACAACAGTATTGTTTTAACAAAGAAAAACAAGAACAAATAACTATAATAACATAATAAAGTGGCATATTTACAAGAATTGTCACTGAGTATTATTATATTACTTTATATAAAAAAAAAGAATTAAATTTACATATTTTGAGATCATACAATACTGAGTTATAAATACATACATTCTATTGTTCATATAATATATTGAATTTTATTAACAATAATAATATGAAGAGCTAAAATATTAATAACTCTAATATTAGTCATGGTATAGCTATTTTATGAATTTATTAAATTTTAAATAACATTTATATGTTATACATATTATGTCAAAGAAGTAGGAATAGTTGTGAGTATGGAAATGTTAATTATTTTTTGGTGATATTATTTTATATTTTATTATTATTATACAGCCAAGGAACAATTTTTTTTTTGAACAAAATTCGCAACCTGGGCTAACTATCTGGATTTGGATATTTAGTGGCTGTGAATCGTCAAAGCTATGGTAAAGGCCAATCATATTGACGAGGTATTGGACCATTGATATTTCCTTCAAAGTATCTGAACATCCAAAACCAATATGACCGTGATAAATAATTATTGGAACTGCTATGCTATAATAAAATAAAAATAATAGTGTAAAATATTGAGTTGTTGGTAATAAAAGACACATACACAATTTTACATGAATATAGAGTGATACCTAGTTTGTGGTATTAACTTTCATTAAAATTGTACAAACACAAATTTATTGTATTATAATATTTGTTGACACACTCTCAAATTGGATATTAATTATTTTATAGAAGACTTTTTTAAAATAGACAATTCAAACATATTTCAATTCACAAAGAACAAATTATTTAATATTTAACTTTACAATACAACTCACAGTACATACAGATTGTCAGATTGACATTATAATTCCATAAGTATTTTCTTAACTAAACCTTAACATTTTTTAATAAGGAAATTTTATCATTGTTGAAGTCACATTAACACAATAACACATACTTAATAATATTTACATACAGTTAAGTGTATGGCTTATTATATATTCTTAAAGAAATGAAAAAATAATAATATTAAGTTATCAAATTTATAAAACAGACTGATCTTTGGCAACTGATTTAATATTATACTGTTGTATCATAATTTAATAGGACAATACCCTTGACATTGAAATAAATAATAATTCCTATGTTTAGAGGTACAATTAATAAATTGATAAAATAAAACATTAGAAAAAACTTATTTTTTACAGCCTTGAGAATCAAAAACATCCAAACATCACAACACATCAATAAATTAACTTGTATAATATAAATTTCTATAACTGTAGCATAATATCAAGCAGTTCCTTTTCGCACAAAATTATTTTACTATACCCTGTTCCAAAAGAGAATACACCAGATTTACGTAGTAAAACCAGTTTTTCCCATAGCCTCCTGGTGTCTTCTCTTTTATTTTGCCCATCTTCTCTTTTAGAACAAGGTATACATAATCTTGTAATTACTCAACAACCAACAATAGTATTGACATGGAATCACTTGTAAGTTACTTTGAATTAGTACTTAAATATATTTAATGTTTAAAATTGCCTATATCAAAACCTTAAAGCAGATGTCCCCATTTCCCACACAATTGCTTTGAAGTTTGATTATAAGGTGTGACGTTATCTAAAGCTTTAAGAAAACAACGAAAAATTAAAATAAACGTGGAACTCGCTTGCTACATTGTATCATGAAATTTAAGTAGATTTTACCTCATCTTTGAGTAGGTCACTGTAATGGACGTGTTAATTTTGAATTCATTAATAAATAATAAATCATTGTGAATACATTATAGGAAAAATGATTCTGAGAGGAGTCTGCCAGCCTATATTTCAAAATATATTTTATAATTTGTATATTTTTCTTTTAGTAAAATTTAGTCATTAATATTTAGAAAGTATAATTGTGTATAGTTAATAATAAAATATCTCAACCAAAAGGTGATAAAAATTTTTTAAATATACATTCCTGATTCATCGCTGGATATAAAAATATAAAATTACAACATTTTACACTATGTTGCTAAAATATGAGATGGAAGTAACATTGTATTTGCAATTTGCATAAAAGTTGTTTTTTTACATAGTCATGATAAATTAATAGGAGAAAAAAATATTATCAGTGACTAGTTTAACAGTCAGACCTCTACCAATAAGAGTGTATTGACAAAAAAACCTGCACATTTGTTGCTTCTGAGATTTTATCTAATAAAGAACAGAGTATAGTAAAGGTTACATATTTTTAATGAATTTTAAAACCATTTAGGGGATCATTGAAATTCTCCTCTTCTCCAAAATGTTAAAAGCCAGGAATACTTAGTAAATTAACTATTAATAATTACATACTTTCATAAACTAATAGAACAATTAAAATTAACATACCTTTAGATAAACATTATTAGCTAATGTATGGTATATCCAAAACAGTCGTGTAGTAACCAAGTATGCTATAATCACATCAATCGTATAGTGACCGTGTGCTAGGAGTACCATTAATACTCCAACAGCTGCCAACAACCATGAAGCCCAATGCAATAAATACCATCGTCTGGGAGAGTCTATACAAAAAGAAAATTATTATTCACATTTATAATACTTATGAAAAGCACGTGAAGTATATACATTCAACGGTGATTAAGTAGCTCATCACTAAAATTGTGGTATGTCCGCTATATATATAATCGCCACAAAATGTGTGTTTGCCATTGATTGACAAACCAAAACCAGAAAATAACTGGATTACGCGTCTAGCAATCAATACTGGATTTGTTGAGTTGGCTTTGGGCGAACAATAATAAGTGCTACTAGATGTGGGCAATACAGTTACAAACATAGTGACAGAGCGGAGAAGATATAGAAGAGACAACATGAACATCAGTCTACGTAGTACAATAAACCTAAAAAAATATACATAAATTAAAATCAAATGCTATAATTTTATTAGTGAAAATAAATGTATTATGTAGCTTTAATTTTAAAATAGTATTGATCACATGGTCATCCAAATATTGTGTAACAAAATTGGTGGAGATTACACAAGATCTTAATATGTTTTCCACCAGATTTCTAAGTTTTGTAACACAACATTTGGATATTCCTATAATAATTAGTATTATAAACTGTAAAAATAAAACAACTGAGATTTTTACCCCAGGGGATTAATACAAATAATTCATAAACCAGAAAAATAACTTTAAATCAGAAAAAAACAAACAATAAAAAATTGTGTTAATTAAACAAATGATTAAAGAAATTTAATATGTAAAAGATTTGACTTGTTAATTAATACAATTAATGATTATGTATTCTACATAAAAGAAAAATTAATACAACTCTATCCATTCATATCTGCAACAATCATTTAACCTACTAAAAAAGTTTGTAATTACCTATACTTATGACTGGCAATAATTAACAATGTTAAATTTGTGCTGACAATGATACATATTTCTGATACATCTAATGCCCAGTCACGAGCAGGTACAGCATCTAAAAATGTATCCGGTAATGGTTTGTACAGACTACGATCAGGCACTCTTTCGTGGACAACAGCCAAAGATGTAGTGGTGATTAGAAAATTCACAGTCAATAATATTAATGCTAAATTAAAAAAAATAATAATAAAATATGCTCATCATACATTTTCTACTATATTCAGTATATTCCAATATTTACCAACAAAAGTCTTGAATTTCTCTTGTGGGATCCTAATTTTATCATTTGATGGTAACGCATAAACATTATTTGGTATATCGACGTGCACAGCTGCTCCCTCGGCATTGTGGTTGAGATATTCGTGACCAAAACCATTATCATCTTCAGTAGGTGTTGTCCCACTATCAGGTTGATGTTTGTCAGTATTTGAATCATTTCTTGATTTCCAACCAACACCATTACTAATGGCTGTTGTTACTTGTTTACATAGACCCAACAATGGCTGCCTTTGACGTTCATTCTAAATAACATAATTAGTTAAGAAATAAATTCATATGAAATAAGGAAAATATAAATAATACAAACAGGGCTTGGAACCGATATTTGATATCGATTTTGAATACCGGTTAAAACCATAGACCTATTAAGATAAATAATAAATAATAAATCTTAATAGGTCTATGGTTAAAACCGTTAAAAAACGAAATCGATACCGAAACCGAAAACAGAATCGAAAAAAACCAATGCCGGTAATCAAAAATTCAAAACCGGTATTCAAAAACAACAACCAAATCAGAAAAAATAAACACTGATATCCGAAACCGAAATCAAAATCGGAAAAAATAAGTACCGATAACCGAAACCGAAATCGAAATGGGAATAATGTGGCAATGTCGGGAAGTGAGCCATTTTCATAGATAATATAAGATTATATTATCTATGGCCATTTCAGTCGAGGGGAACGTGTGCCACATTTCGCACAAGACTGAAATGGCCTTCCCGTGCGAGCCACACATACTATTTTTTGTCACGCCTATAACGATATGTGGGCCCGGCACTTTTTGGATTTCCACTTTACCACTCGGCACTTTTTGGGATTTCCACTTTACCGCCCGGCACTTTTTGGATTTCCACTTTACCGCCAGCTGGACGGAAAAAGGACGCTTTCAAACGCTTCAACCGCTATCTAAAACCAAACTTTCGGCGCAGGTGTGACAAAAAAAATATGTACGGTTTCAAGCCCTGAATACAAACTACTGAATTAAAAGATAAAAAAGATAATTGATCATTTTAAAAAACATTTAAATACCTAAGCTATTTAAAAAAGGATTTTTTTTTAAATAATGAATGTACATTTAACCTTGACCTAGTATAACTTTTACCCTGGTGTGGTCATTAATTATTTAGTGGCTTAGTACTGGACGATGGAACATACAAGTTACATAGTATTTTTAGTAATAATTACAAAAAAATATTGATAAATATTAATAGGTACAATATAGAAATATATAATTCAAATGAATTAAGTATTTGTTTAAATGTACAATGCAGATTCTATTACACAGTTAATTTTAATTTTTAGTTAGCGTTCAAAACTGAACTCGAAATAAAACATGATTAAATATAATAACATAAGAAAGTCAAACATTTATAGAAAATAGAACTTTCAATATTATAATACAGTGAAACACCATTTAACACAATTTTCTGTTTAATAAAATATTTTTGAGAACCAAACCCAATTAGAACCAAATTAATTCAGTTCTATTTAATGAAATTCTGTATATTACAAATTTTGTGTATACCCCATGAGACTTCGTAATATAGAAGTGCAAAAGAAACACCACATCATTGTAAAATCAATACATTCATATAAGAGCTTAGAATCTAAAAACTAATATTTGACTCTTCATCATAAAAGGGTTTTCATTTCTATAAACGGTGGGCAGGTTGAGCTATCTTAGACTAAAAAAATTAATATTTTGAAAATTTAAACCTAAATCGGTTTGAATAGGATTGAATTGAAACATTAAAATGTAAAATGTTTAGAGTAAATTAGTCATATACTCATAATATATTATACCCAGTATAATTTTTGTCTTGAATATATCGTCATAAATTTTGTTTTATCACCTAGTTGTATTTCAAACAGGATTATTATAACTATTGTTTTTTTTCTAAAATTTCTACAGATAATAAATTTAGTTTTTTTAATAAATTCATATCCATAATTAATTAGTAGTAACTAATAAGACAATTATTGTCGATTATATACAAAGAATATTACTGAACGAACATTTTAGCTTATACTCTCTGAGTTATTGTTCATTGTTTTTAGTAGTAGGTAACTATAACTAATTTAGTAATACCTAAGTAATAAAAAATACTCCACTATAATTTCGTGTAATTACATCTGTATTTCATATATTATGGGTATATGGCAGTCAGTATTCATCATTATATTGTTTAGAAGTGTTTACCGTTTTAGTAATATCTACTTAGTACATTCCATTTCATTAGACAATATATTATATGGTCATAATTCCTATAAGACTAATAAATGACGTATGACGTATAGAAACCACGGAATTGTACCTTTTCATTTTTTATGTTAATTATCAAGCTGAAGCCTTAATAAATAATAAGTTTGTAATAATTGTTAATTAATGTAGCAAATAGTTATACATTTATAATATATGTATACCTAATAAAAAATGTGTTTAGCGCATACGATTCATATTAATATAATTAAAATATAATACTATGTATTTATTTGTTTTAAAATAAAATAATGATAGCACAATAACTTACTAAATGACCATTAGCTGGAGGCATGTCAATTTCAATATGAACGAATTCTTTTTTATGGCCTTCGTTGGATGTATAGGAAACCCCTTTAATTCCAATTCTATTTTGGATTCCATCAGTGCTAGGCTCTCCTTTCGGTTCTAGTACCATCCTAAAACAATAATTTACAATAAAAATCAATAAATCACTGAATTTTAAATATATATTGAAGAATAATAACGTAAATCAATAATTGATGTGCCTATATACTAAGTTTATGGTTTATTTTTTAGCGGGGACTATACAACAACATAAATGTCATTACTAATTAGTTATTATTACTTATTAATAAATTATTGTATTTATTTTTGTATATTATATTAAAACGATAGTTCTCGAATAGTAAAATAACCCCGAGCAATAAGTTACCTAATAACAGTGTTTATTTTCGATCATATAACTAATAACAATACAAATCTCAATCTATTAAGAAAAATAATTATAATTTTACTTTTTAGAAATATATAACACTCATAAATCCGAATAATATTAGTTAATTATAATTAATATTTGTAAATTTATATATACCCTAGGCTATAACTAATTACAATACAAGTTAAATTAAAAAAACTTTTTTAAAAATAATAATATCTATAATTTGTTCATCATAATTATACGTAAGCTTATATCTATTTTCTAATTAGAGTGGACTATAAATGAGGACTTCGATGACGTCAATATGTTAAGCTGAATAAAATACAGTCTTTTAACAAGCCCGGATTAAGGATCAATTGGGCCCCGGGACACCTTCCACTTAGAAATACGTTTTTCTGACTAACTCCGAGTTAGCAGTTACTCGCACTTTAACTCTAGGTGGTGAAACCGGCCATTAGTGGGCCCCCTTTCAACTTTAACTTCAAAATAACTGTATCATTCCATGATAACGATTAACGACTATATATTGTATATTATTGTACAATTTTTTACTTTCCAAAAAATATACAGGATGTATCATATGTCATTTTAGGCGTTTGTTTTTTTAACAATTATGAATCGGTGATATAGAATTTCGTTAAAACAAAAAAAGACGTGTTTATTTATTTTTAACAAGCAATTTTTTTTACAAAATTTTCAAATTTTTGAAACACGCAGTTGTACCAGAAAATAAAATCTTTATTATTCAACTTTATTTTTTCAAATGGTAACCACTATATTTTTTGATGGATTCTGGTGAAACTTTTTTTCTGAATATTTTGACAGTAAAATGATCAATTATGGTTCTCTAAAGTTATGGTAATCTAAAGTTTAGTTTAATATGCATTAATACTTTTAACTAAAATACCTAATTTACAAGAGCTAAATATTTTTTTCTTATAACTACCTTTTTGTATACTTAAATAGTTAATTCGGTCATCTAAAATGCTCAAAAAAAAAAAACAACAACAAACAATCAAAATTGTTGGCAAACATAATTGATTATTTATAGTAATTTTTCATGGTATAAAACGGAGAACAAATTTATTTTATAATTTTATTATTAATAATAATTTACCTACTATACCTACCTACTGAAATAATTTTTTTTTTTAATACTATTGGACGTTAAAAAAATATATTTTGGGGATAAGGATGGGCCCCCAAAATCAATGGGCCCCGGGACCATGCCCCCTAGCCCCCCCTCCAAAGTCCGGGCTTGGTCAAAAACCCAATCGATTGTTCAAAGTGTGTAGTTAGGTAGGTATATTAGTAAATAGTAAATTCAAATACATATATAATAATTCAAATACAATTAATTAATATTTGATAATGGATATCAAAATAAGATGAATGGATTGAAAAGTATAACAATAATTACTGTTGAACACGAACGCAAACTACAAATATTTCATCTATTACACAAAACATTTTATATACCTACACTTGCGCCCCATAAAATATTATTTAATAGGCCAGAGAGTCGATAATACATCGTTACTGTAACAACCTTTAACGACATTTAGAAACATTTATATCTAACATAACCCACCTAGTAAAGCATGAATGACAAACTAATCAATAATATGTCTATAATATTTTTCTTAATAATATGTCATGATGATATGACATAATATGTAGTAGGTATAAATACCTATATTATTACAACGATAATTATTAATAGAAGCAGTGGCGTGTTGAACTCATTTTTGGTGATGAGCAAAAATGTATACAAGGTACACACCCACCCACCCCCCTTGATGTTTATTGACGGCATTTCCAACTCAGTAAAAAAGTTTAAATTAAAAATTGACAAATATGCCTACATTTGTAACGATTTATATAATCGGATATGATATTTCTACAATATACCTAGTCACCTAAGTGGCTAGGTATTTTGTGTCAGGGGACCACCCAACAAACAACAATTTTGAAGGAGCAATTGCTCCAAAATAATACCTCCGACACGCCACTGAATAGAAGATATATACAAACGTTATATAAAGTAAAACATTACAATCAACGATAATGAAATCAATATAGGTAATGTGGTCAGTATTTAATTTAATAAAATTATAAATGTCATTCATTCAATTCGTAATATTTATTTTAAACATGCATGTGGTGTTCACTGTTAAGCAGTTGATATGTCAGGAAATGTTAGATAAATTAGAATAATATAACATAATATAGTATAATAATTTTGATGATATCGCGAATCACTCATTCACGCCTATTTAATTATGGAAATTCAATTTTAAAATGTAATATCTACTTAGTACATTTCATTTCATTAGACAATATATTATATGGTCATAATTCATATAAGACTCATAAATGACATACGACGTATAGAAACCACGAAATTGTACCTTTTAATATACATTTATTATAGCATAGCAGTTCCAATAATTATTTATCACGGTCATGGTGCTTTTGGATGTTCAGATACTTTGAAGGAAATATCAATGGTCCAATACCTCGTCAATATGATTGGCCTTTACCATAGCCTCGACGATTCACAGCCGCCAAATATTCAAATCGAGATAGTTAGCCCAGGTTGCGAATTTTGTCTAAAAAAAAATCGATATTATACGGGTATTCGGTAGAAATATTGGTTTTTAGTTAGTGTCAGTAGTTATATTTATTGGTCCTATACTAGTGCCAGAGACCAGTCCAACACTTACGAGTAACCTGGGGTATAATGGCGCACCTAACATTTAACAGCTGTTATGTGGTAGCATACACGTTTTAGAAATATTGTTTCCCATAAATATTACGTAGATTTCAATTTATTGGTCAAAAGTTGGTTTTACCAAAGCAAATACCAACAATTCTAAACAATTAGAAAATGTAACAAATGCGTCTTTTCACCCCATTATTGGGGTAAAAGTGCGCACGTAATGGGGTAATAGGCCGCATGCTAATAAATTCATAAAAATCTATTTTATTGAAAGACTGTTATATATTTTATTTTTATTAAATAATAAGTTATAAATATATATAATATGCATGCATAATATAACAGTCCCTAATATAATATATATTATTAATACAGTATTAGTAGTAAATACTAAGTAAAAGTAATTTTTTTAAGTATTATAATTTTTAGACATTAAATTTGAAGCTAGAAAAATTAAGTGTTTATAAAAGTAGGTAATCAATAATCATGTAAGAAATACTGCGCACTTTTACCCCAAAACCCACTGAGCCATTTTACCCCGATATGATTTTCTGCATAAACAGTATTGTAGGTAGTATATTCAGTTGTTATCATATTAATATTTTACTAGTGTTGACGTTTAGTCACCTACTTGTACTAAACGATTATATATTATATAAATGCAACACCTAACGTGTCGCTATATAGTACACATTACAGTACTACGTGTCTACGTCTATACCAGGTACTCAAATATTATATCAGACGAATACAATTAATAATTTGCCTCATATTGCCGCCAAAACTTCATCAACCGCTAAAAAAATCTTTTATCACGTTTGGCTATGATGACATAATCATAATAACAAGTGTTTGACCAGCTGATAGCAATTAATAATTATTAAATAATTACAACAGTTAATTTTGCCCCATGCGCCATTATGCCCCAGGTTACTATACGTCTATACATTTGAATACCACAAGATCATTGAAACTTGAAAGTGTCAAGTTTGGACACCGCCACACCGGTGTCTAAATGGTGTCTGTAAAAATATAAATATGGACTTGTGTCTGAACAGCACCAGGGTGTATTTATGGGGCTGGGGGGGGGGGCACATGGGACCTGTACCATCACCACTGACCGTACCTATGTATGTATAATATATTTTATAGCAGCTACTATGGCAACTGATATTGTTCAATCATTATTTTGTATACATGATCTAATAGTATAACTGATAAAGTGACGAGATTTAAATAAATACTTAAAAAATAATTTAAATACGGTAATTAAAGTCAATTTGTACGTTTGCATCCATCATAAAGAAAATTATAAAAAAAGTTTTGTCGATGTTTTTATCGAGGATATTTGAAGGATTGCCTGTCTTATAGTTTTTTTGGTACACCTTTTTAAGTAAAAAAATGAGAGAATTTTTTTATTGGACTTGTACCTATTCAGTGCTCTAAAACACACATTTTGGGGGAGAAAAAAATGGAAAAATCGCTTGGGAACTAAACTGCATTGGTTCCGTATTTTTTAATTATTTACGTCATACTGACTTGTCAGCTTAGATAAAAAATCAATTTTTTTTTTGTTTTTGACACACCTATACTAGGCACTAGTTGCCATCCCTGTTCTAGACCAACTACGCAAATATGAATAGGAGGTAGCTATAATGCTATATATTTTGTTAAATTTTAAAACAGAATATAACGACACAACCACAACATGTACGCGTTGACCACAACATAATGCAATACAAATTACAATAGTTTATAATTATATAAAGTGAATACCCAACTTACTTGTCTCGAAATCTGTTGTACACTTTACGAAAATAAAATAAAAATGACTGCGCTGTCGCTGCGCCAAAATATACCATAATATACCATAGATATTATAATACAGATATAGATATCGTAATACAGACATAGATTTATAGTATTTACTGTACTGTAATGTCTAATATCCTTCAAAGACAATATCCCGCCTGCCTTGAGGCGGGTTCCCACTATACACGTTTGCCGTGTACACGAAAAATGTTCAGCTATGTCCAACAACACGGTATCGTACTATCGTGGTTAATCGTGTGGTAACATAACATAACCAACCAATCACAGCAAAGGATTTGTATGCACGTGAACGCGTACGTGTATAGTGGAAACCCGCCTTAATACGGTCATTTTTACGAGTCTCGTGTTTCTGACAACGTTCAACATAACCCGTTTAATACAATTTCATGCTCAAGACGTTATTTTTAACTGGTCCTTGTGAAAACGTATTATGAGGGCACTGCACGGGCATTTGTCTTACAAGTAACATAGCAAATTTTAAGCCCGGTCCAGACCAAGAAACATTTGTAGGAAACATATTATGTTTCTGACATTGTCGTCGACAAATATTTATGTTACCGCTTATGAGCGGAAATCAGAAACATTGTCGACGACAATGTTGGAAACACATGTTTCCGACAAAATTTTCTTTGGTGTGGACGGGGCTCGGCAGACCACGTGATAGCTCCGTAGTTAGTTTAAAGATTAGAATGAATTGACTTCTTATAAATTATATAGGTAAAAAAGTATTATTAAGGGGCCGTTAAAGTTACATTTGTTTTCTCTGTCTTACAAGTGAGTAACACGGCAAATTGTATGCTCAGCAAAACACGTTTATCTCCCTTTAGTTTAAAAATTAGAACGAATTGACCTCTTATAAAATTTGAAGGTAGGATTATTATCTAGACAATGACATAGGCTTTTTATTATATTTTAATTCCAAAGCGAGTTATGAGTATTTTAGGATGTACAAACAGTTTACAATTTTAAAATACACATAACTCGCTTTAAAATTAAATTATAATAAAAAGCCTATTTCATTGTCTATTTTTTTATAAATAATAATCTTACCTTTAAATTGTATAAGAGGTCGTTCTAATTTTTAAACTAAAGGGAGAAAAACGTGTTTTGCTGAGCGTAAAATTTGCTATGTTACCCACTTGTAAGACGGAGACAACAAATGTCACTGTAACGTCCCTTTACCCCTTAAGGGCATCTCATTAGCTTCTTATTATATTTTAGTTTTAAAGTGACTCATGAGTATTTTAAAACTGTTAATTGCTTGTACATCTTAAGATAGTACTCATTAATGCAATTATAATAGTATAATACGTTATTTACTGCTATAAAGTTTAGACAATAAAGGTAATGATTATGGTAGGTACCTACCTACTTGAAAATCAATTTTTTAAACACGTTTAAATCAGAAATAGATACTTGACATAATATTAGATCCAACGCCTAAAATGTTATAAGTCAGAAACTTATATGTTTTCGGGGGGGACAAACTTGTGACCAGTGGCGTCATTTGGGGGGTGGCAACTGCCAACTGGGGCATTTGCCCCAGTCTAGTATTTACATCAACCTTAAGTTGGCACATTTACCACACACACCACACCGCCGCCCTTAGCCGCTATGGCACATAATATGTGTATCCAAATGTTGAGTCGGATAAGTAGTGAAAAGTTGCCCTAGTCTAATAAAAACTGAAATGACGCCACTGCTTGTGACTCGATTTTTAATGAGAACTGTAAAAAAATATATTCTACTCTCGCAGACACTGTTAGGACACCGCTCAATTGTGGTGGTCCAAAATTGGTCAAATTCCGAAGATAACACTATTTAAATTGTAAACACTAATGACATCAAAAACACCTCCTTGACACTACACACTACTGGTTCAGCATCAGGTCAGTACACAGTCCAAACACCAATTTTCAATAAATTATTTCTAATTATTATATATATTATACTATGTTTAGTATATTATTGTGTATTGACTATTGCCATTATTTTGTTTATCTTTTTTATAAATGTCAGTATGCTTCTGATAAAACTGTTTAAATCTTTCACAATTAATATAATAGTTACCTATTTAATTACTTAAACACATTTGATTAACTCTAACACACTTCAAACGCAGAAATGTAATTATATATTATCTACACATGGTCATATAAAGGTATATTTAAATGTCATGATATTATCTAATTTAAACTACAAGTACCTATGTTCTAACTAAAATTTCATTTAAATTAAAATAAAACTTAGATATTTTTCATTTTAGTAATATAATTTCTCCATTATCGATATGTTTGTCACAAGGACAGAAATTTAAAAATTAAGAAAGTTTAATTTTGCAAAATGAAATATATAATGCCAAGGATAAAAATTAACAAATAATAAGCAAAAACACTACAAATTTAATTTTATTAATATTCAAAATACTGATAGAAAATTATAATTGTACATTTCAAAATAGTCCTTTACAAATAACAATGAAAAATGAACAGAATATTGAAGGGACTAAAATAATTTGCTTAACATTCTAAAACAATATTGTTTGATTATTATTTCTTTTTTTTTACAACTATCTTTATTAAATTTTTTTTATTAAATCACAGAAATGGACAATTTATTTAATTGTAATAATTATCAAGAAAAAAAAAAACATCACTTTGAAACAATATATGGACTTGTAGAAAAAATAAAAACTCCAGGTAGGTAACAACATTATTTCCTAGCTAGTCAGTGCAACACACAATGACTATCACAGACAATCTAAAGAAGCACGAAAGCTGCTTATATGTAATATAAGCACAACACCATTTGGTACAATTTTTGTACATAAATGGAGTTAATGACTGGTGTTTATTTGATAAAATTGTGTATTTTTCTGAACGGAATGAAAAATATTACTCTTTTGCCTAGTCCAGTCCATTAATAATGTAAAAGACTTCTAGGAATGTATACAACAGTTTTCAACAAAAATTAAATAATAATTATATAATCATTATTTATTCATTACATTATTAATATTAACCACTGATATCAATACTTTTTATAAGGACGGACCTCAATTGATAATTCATCGAAAATAAACTGTACTATTTGATTATAAAAACATATAGAATTACAATTTAAATGCAAATGTTTCACCTATTAACTAATATTTTAAGGAATAATTCACTCAACTCTTTAAACATAGATTAAGAAGTCAAGTGAATTTTTAAACAGTAAAAAAATTAACTAAAAACAAAATACTTGATTACATTTATAAAATAATTATACATAGTAAATCAAGTAATATTATATTGCAACATTTCAAGGGAAGATCTGACCAAAATATCTGGTAGATTTATATGGGGAATAAATAGTCAAGCATACCCCTTAAACACAAGAGATCTGATCCTGACAAAAAATTGTTTTAGAGTTAACAAAGACTAGATAATAATAATTAAATATTAAGTTAACATAAATATTTTTTTTATAATAATAATAATAATAATAATAATAATTAATTTTGTTCTATGCTATAACAGTATTGTTTTAACAAAGAAAAACAAGAACAAGTAACTATAATAACATAATAAAGTGGCATATTTACAAGAATTGTCCCAGAGTATTATAATATTACTTTGTCTAAAAAAAAAAAGAAATAAATTTACATAATTTGAGACCATACAATACTGAGTTATAATTTCATATATTCTATTGTTTATATTATAATATATTGAATGTTATTAACAACAATAATATCAAGAGCTAAAATATTAAAAACTCTAATATTAGTCATAGTATAGCTACATATTTTGTAAATGTAACATAATAAAAATAGATTAAAGTTAATTTACGATCCTTTTGCAAAAATCTTTGAAAATATGCCACTGATAACATAAATTATTATTAAAATAACCATTTTTGTTCTTTTTTAAACAATTTTGGAAAATAAACCAAAGTAAAAAAAATAACTAAAGTTAAATATTATTAATAATAAAAACAAAAATAACCACTTTTAAACATTAAAAATTAAAAACAAAAAAACCACAATTTGTCATTAAAAAAAAAGTAGTGTTTTCAATAAATAATTATATTTATTAGTAAATTCATGAATGCATAGAAGAATGAATACGGATTATCAATTAAAAATACTGACGACAATAGGTATTACATTTAGTTTTAATTTTTTTAATACTGTAAGGAGAAAGATGGAGTAAGAAAAATTGGCAAAAAAATATACAAATTAATTTTAAAATGTAAATAGAAAGGTCAAAGGAGTAAAATTTACTTTGATTATTATGTATATATATGTAGATAAATATTTTATGTATATGAATGTATCCCACAATATTTTACTTTTAAAAGTGAAGAGAAAATGGAAATTCTGCTTACACAAAAAATTTCAAACACTATAAGACACTACATATATTTTATAATATACAAACATATTCTAGATATATATATTTACACATTGTTACACACTAATAAATAATTTATATATTTATATAAAATTAATTTTGTTACCTAAAAATTGATTTAACTATGAATTTTAAATTTTAGGATATAGTTGATATAATTTCCAGCATATACTTGTAAAAACTATAAATACCAGTTCATTTACTTATAAAACTAAATTTACTATTATTAATAATGTAATTTGAATTTAAAGTTTTTTTTGAAAAAAATTCTGAATTATTCTGAAGAAATTTCTAATAATTTTAAGATAAGTATACATAAGTTATGAAGTTGTTTGAGCAAAAGTTAGCATGTAACAATGTAAATATATATATATATATATTATGAATATATTAAGTTTTAAATAACAAATATACATATACATATGTCAAAGAAGTAGGAATAGTTGTGAGTATGGAAATGTTAATTATTATTTGGTGATATTGTTTTATATTTTATTATTATTATACAGCCAAGGAACATTTTATTTTAGACGAAATTCGCAACCTGGGCTAACTATCTCGATTCGGATATTTGGCAGCTGTGAATCGTCGAGGCCATGGTAAAGGCCAATCATATTGACGAGGTATTGGACCATTGATATTTCCTTCAAAATATCTGAACATCCAAAACCACCATGACCGTGATAAATAATTATTGGAACTGCTATGCTATAATAAAATAAAAATAATAGTGTAAAATATTGAGTTGTTGGTAATAAAAGACACATACCTATTTAATTTTAAATTTTTTAATTGACATTCACAATTTTACATGAATATTGAGTGATACCTAGTTTGTAGTATTAACTTTCATTAAAATTGTACAAACACAAATTGATTGTATTATAATTTTTGTTGATACACTCTCAAATTGGATAGTAATTATTTTATAGAAAACTTTTTTAAAATAGACAATTCAAACATATTTCTATTCACAAAGAACAAGTTATTTAATATTTAACTTTACAATACAACTCAAAGGACATACAGATGGAGATTATAATTCCATAAGTATTTTCTTAACTAAACCTTAACATTTTTTAATAAGTTAATGTTATCAATAACACATACTTAATTATGGCTTATAAAATATTCTTAAAGAAATGCCACAATAATAATATTAAGTTATCAAATGTATAAAACAAACTGATCTTTGGCAACTAATTTAATATTATATTATAATATCAAGCAGTTCCTTTTCGCACAAAATTATTTTAGTATACCTTGTTCCAAAAGAGAAGACACCAGATTTACGTAGTAAAACTAGTTTTGCCCATGGCCTCCTAGTATCTTTTAGAACTGGTTATATATACATAATCTTGTAATTACTCAACAAAAAACAATAGTATTGGCATGGAATTACTTGTAAGCTGGGGTTAAAGTGGGGGGAGGGGCACAGCAGGACTCAGTCCCTCTACCTTTGAAGGCGGTTAAAAAGCGTCCCCTTTAACAAATTAGGATTTTATACATTAGACATTATACACAAAAATTATACATGGAAAGCTTGAAACTATATAGAGACATTAGTCTCCTCTGGAATTTTTTCCCTTTCGAACCCCTGCTTGTAAGTTACTTTGAATTAGTTAAGTAAATATATTTAATGTTTAAAATTGCTTATATCAAAACCTTAAAGCAGATGTGTGGGGGGTGTGACATTATCTAAAGCTTTAAGAAAATAACAAAAAATTAAATTAAAACGTGGAACTCGCCTGCTACAGTGTATCATGAAATTTAAGTAGATTTTACCTCATCTTTTAGTAGGTCACTGTAATGGACGTGTTAATTTTGAATTCATTAATAAATAATAAATCATTGTATAAGTCTGCCAGCCTATATTTCAAAATATATTTTATAATTTGTATATTTTTCTTTTAGTAAAATATAGTCATTAATATTTTGAAAATATAATTGTGTATAGTTAATAATAATATATCTCAACCAAAAGATGATAAAAAATTTTTAAAAAAAAATGTCAATGAAAAAATACATTCATGATTCAAAATTACAACATTTTACATTATGTTGCTATAATATGAGATGGAAGACACATTGTAAAAATATTTCATTTGCAATTTGCATAAAAGTTCCTTTTTTTACATAATCATGATAAATTAATAGGAGAAAAAAATATTATCAGTGACTAGTTTAACAGTCAGACCTCTACCAATAAGAGTGTATTGACAAAAAAACCTGCACATTTGTTGCTTCTGAGATTTTATCTAATAAAGAACATAGTATAGTAAAGGTTACATATTTTTAATGAATTTTAAAACCATTTAGGAGGTCATTGAAATTCTCCTCTTCTCCAAAATTTTAAAAGCCAGGAATACTTAGTGAATTAACAATTAATAATTACATACTTTCATAAGCTAATAGAACAATTAAAATTAACATACCTTTAGATAAACATTATTAGCTAATGTATGGTATATCCAAAACAGTCGTGTAGTAACCAAGTATGCTATAATCACATCAATCGTATAGTGACCGTGTGCTAGGAGTACCATTAATACTCCAACAGCTGCCAACAACCATGAAGCCCAATGCAATAAATACCATCGTCTGGGAGAGTCTACACAAAAAGAAAAATTTTATTCACATTTATAATACTTATGAAAAGCACATTAAGTATATACATTCAACGGTGATTAAGTAGCTCATCACTAAAATTGTGGTATGTCCGCTATACATATAATCGCCACAAAATGTGTGTTTGCCATTGATTGACAAACCAAAACCAGAAAATAACTGGAATACGCGTCTAGCAATCATTACTGGATTTGTTGAGTTGGCTTTGGGCGAACAATAATAAGTGCTACTAGATGTGGGCAATACAGTTACAAACATAGTGACAGAGCGGAGAAGATATAGAAGAGACAACATGAACATCAGTCTACGTAGTACAATAAACCTAAAAAATATACATAAATTAAAATCAAATGCTATAATTTTATTAGTGAAAATAAATGTATTAAGTAGCTTTAATTTTAAAATAGTATTGATCACATGGTCATCCAAATATTGTGTAACAAAATTGGTGGATATTACACAAGATCTTAATATGTTTTCTACCAGATTTCTAAGTTTTTTAACACAACATTTGGATATTCCTATAATAATTAGTATTATAAACTGTAAAAATAAAACAACTGAGATTTTTACCCCAGGGGATTAATACAAATAATTCATAAACCAGAAAAATATCTTTAAATCAGAAAAAAACAAAAAATAAATAATTGTGTTAATTAAACAAATGATTAAAGAAATGTATTATGTGAAAAATTAATACAACTCAATACATTCATATCTGCAACAATCATTTAACCTACTAAAAAAGTTTGTAATTACCTATACTTATGACTGGCAATAATTAACAATGTTAAATTTGTGCTGACAATGATAAGTATTTCTGATACATCTAATGCCCAGTCACGAGCAGGTACAGCATCTAAAAATGTATCCGGTAATGGTTTGTACAGATTACGATCCGGCACTCTTTCATGGACAACAGCCAAGGATGTAGTGGTGATTAGAAAATTCACAATCAACAATATTAATGCTAAATTAAAAAAATTAAAATAAAATATGCACATTATACATTTTCTATTATTTTAAAATAATATTATATTCCAATATTTACCAACAAAAGTCTTGAATTTCTCTTGTGGGATCCTAATTTTATCATTTGATGGTAACACATTAACATTATTTGGTATATCGATGTGCACAGCTGCTCCCTCGGCATTGTGGTTGAGATATTTGTGACTAAATCCACTATCATCTTCAGTAGGTGTTGTCCCACTATCAGGTTGATGTTTGTTATCTGCCAAGGCTTGGTGTATATGACCCATATTAGGTCGTTGATGCTCACCACAATTGTCCGTATTTGAATCATTTCTTGATTCCCAACCAACACCATTACTAATGGCTGTTGTTACTTGTTTACATAGACCCAACAATGGTTGCCTTTGACGTTCATTCTAAATAACACAATTAGTTAAGAATTAAATTTATATGAAATAAGGAAAATATAAATTATACAAACAACTGAATTAAAATATAAAAGACAATTCAACATTTTAAAAACATTTAAATACCTATATTATTTTAAATAATGAATGGACATTTAACCTTGACCTAGTATAACTTTTACCCTGATGTGGTCATTAATTATTTAGTGGCTTAGTACTGGACGATGAAACATACAAGTTACATAGTATTTTTACTAATAATTACAAAAAATATTGATAAATATTAATAGGTACATTATAGAAATATAAAATTTAAATGAATTAAGTATTTGTTTAAATGTATTATGCAGATTCTATTACACAGTTAATTTTAGTTAGTGTTCAGAACTGAAATCGAAATAAAACATGCTTAAATAAGTCAAACATTTATAGAGAATAGAACTTTCAATATCATAATACAGTGAAACATCCATTTAACACAATTTTCCGTTTAATAAAATATTTTTGAGAACCAAATTTATTCAGTTCTATTTAATGAAATTCTCTATGTTACAAATTTTTTGTATGTCCCATGAGACTTCATAATATGAAAGTTTCACTGTACTAATTAAATTTCAATAATTATGAGAATTTACTGTCATTAACAGAACAAATACATATTTTGAATAACATTTAACAATAATAAAACCTATATATTATTCAAAATACATAAAAATTGTTATTATATTATAGAATTATTTATTTACTGAACAATATATCATAATTTTAAGTGAACTAAAAATTTTAAGTTGATGATCTATAATGAATATTAATTAAAAACTATACTAGATATGCGTCACAATAATTTACTACACAGATACAATTAGTCTTGTAGTTTGAGTGGGGAAGATAAATATATTGGTTTTACAAAGAAGTGCGGTTTTTTGTTTTGCCAATTATCCCTATTTGAAGGATTATTTAGATTAAGAATAGCTATCATCAACTTAGATGGTGGCTTCTGGTAACCAACTAATTAGTTTTTTTTAGGGACGGTAGGGGTGTTGTGGAAGAAACCAATATATTGGTAGTTTTTATTTTTATATTTTTTTTATTGGGTGTTACCACTGGGTATCATCCATAATCTCGTGATTCATGTTAACCACTTTTATTTGTCACTTATCAAACCTACTCATTGTACAAAAAAATGTATAGATTGTAGATTTATTTAAACATAATAATACAAAAAAAAAAAATATTTATTTTAAGTTCTAATTTTGACGAAATTGGATGTGGTACCTAAACGAAAAATAAAGATTTTTCCTCTAACAATTTTAGTTATTATGTATTATTTATTTTACGAACTTGAAACTAATCGCCATAGCGTATAGGTATTATTGTTTTCTATAGGTAAGTTAATGACATTTTAAGCTATTCACACCGTTTATGGTTGGCGGTATTGACTTATAATTTAAATGTTAAGAACAATATTATTATACGCGATTTATTTTCACAAAACTTAGCTCAACATACAGTAGGTACTAGTGTACCACTACTAAAAAAATGTCTTACTATTTGATAGTAATATAAATAAATTATAAAATATCCTTATAAATGAAGCAAACACATCATATCTAAGAGCGGAAAGCCCGGCGGACCCAGCCTACTTTTTAATAATTTAACTCTACCCTACTTCGAAGAAAAAAATTATTTAATCAATACATATTGCAAGTGCAATATTATTATGTTTACAACAAAATCAGTTAAATTTCAATACGTTTACAAAAATACAACCAGAAAATATTGGCCCACATTTTTCATTGGATTAAAATAATTTAATACATTGATTGTATAGTGTACCTATACTCTATTTACTATTACAGTAAGTTATTAAGTATGATTTAGTATTACGGCATTTTCATTAGTATTTATTGTTACTCATTTACTCTAATTAATAACATTACATACAGTGGTTTTAGAGCTCTATCATTAGATACTTCTACTTATAACCTACTCAATATATTTAGAGTATATTTCGTCTCTCCAAACCAGCTAGTACCTACCTACTGTAAATAGAGCGACTGGCCCGTTTTATAATGTAGGTTGTAGGTACATAATAAACATTTTAAATTTATGGTCAACGTCTGTTACATTTAAATTTAAGTTGAATATGATTGTAAGCATAAGCATTATAAATTATTCATAGAAATTAAAAATGAAGACGTTAAAATATGAGTATTATTATTTACGTATAAATGTATAAGGACGTACATGTAAAAAGATTCAATGAAGATCAAAATATGTCTTTTTTTGCTGTTGACAAGATAATACGGTTTTTAAAGAGACACACTATAACAATTTAAAAGGTCAAACATTGTGGGAAGAGTGGAAGTCAGACAATACAGGGATGCACTAATTATGCGAGCTTGCAATAATTTTAGAAGAAAATAAATCAATTTGATTTTCATACAATCTTAACAAGGTATTATTTGAAAAAGTATACTAATGCTGAATTGCATAAAAATGTAATATTTTAATGGTTCATTAACCATTTAAACTTGAACATTTGAAAATGGACCAATCATATGTCACCAAACCATGTTTAAGGAGCCAGGTGCCAATATAATTTTGTCCCCGAAAACACGCTCTACGCGAATAATGATGCTGTTCTGTAGAATCAACCGAATTTGATCATTTTGTTTTAACTAATAGAGTGTTTCTAAAGACCTCATTTAACCCCGTTTATCAATATTTTAATCTTAAACTTAATAATATATGACAAGAATATGTAAATTATGTAATAATCCGATAATTTTAAGCATTTTTATAATATTGTTACATGCCATTATTTGAAATCAAATAAAAATTAGGAGTTAAAAGCGGCCTGAAGGAAGTATTCTTGTTTCAGATAAAGAATGGTTATTAAAATCCGACAATTTTTCCTGTGAAGTCATTTTTTTTAGATATAATATATTGCACAATGCAACTAACCGGGCCCCTACATAAATAACTGGGTGTTTGAATAGGTAAGGCACTAAGCTAATAGTTTTTTTAAAATCTGTCAATATCTCAACTCTCAAGAAAACAATGTTGTTTATTATTTTTCGAATCATAGGAAAACCATAATCATTTAATTACTACTTTAATTTAAGACTTTCTTGAAAACTGAATAGTCGTAATATTCTCCGCTTTTTTATAAAAAATATTTAAGTTAACTATTAGTACTAATATATCTTCAGTGTTCATTTTTGAAACATAAAGATTATATGGACTATAATATGAAACTTTTAGAACACTTCTTAACAAAAAATGATTATTACTAAACATACTTCATAAAACTAAACATTAGTAAATTACACATAATAAATAGTAAATGCGATATGCTTATTATATAATCAATTATAATATGTAGTATTATTATTAATAATTTACGGTTGATAAACTCTTCAGTCCTACTGAATTAGTATGTTAAATAGTAAGTCACCTTGGTGTAATAGTAATTGTACAAGTTACTTTGCATTTATATAAATTTTCGGGACCGCCATTAAAATATCATATTAACCGAGTACAAAACACATTAATGCCAGAACAATTTCTATTTCTTACCCACGACGAAATGGTATTGGTAAATTGTTTTCAAAACGCTTTTAAGCTGAAGAATTGGACACAGCTCTCGTTATAAAAACATTAGCATAAAAGAAAAGTAATAAAATATAAGTACGTATTTTACAATTTAAGATTTTACTGCAATAATAAGTAATAGTACAGATTTTTCATATTACAGGCACGTACACAAAAAAAAATCGAGGGGGGATGTTGAACCCCCCAAAACATCCTCCCATCACAAGGTATATATGGCTGTAATAATATGTCATTATTGAAGCTACAAATTAAAAAAAAAATAATAAATATCTACCTATGGGTACGTTAACATTTGTTATCTATTTATTTTATATTTGTTTATTGTACCAAACAGAGGACTGAAGCAAACAAACCGAAAATAATTAAACTAAAGCGTAGTTTGTTATTCGTCAAATAGGAACTTACAAAATTTTATTAGTATTAACATTTTATGATAGACCTCTTCGAGTGCAATAAGTAAAATAAGTTGACAAGATGGGTTGTGTCTAATATTTAGGTAACTAGTGCTTACTTTTTTTTATAAGCAAATAGAAAATTTATAATCTGTACACTTAAAAAAATAAATAAATTTGGTGATTGCAGTAAGAAAAGTAGAACAAAAAAAACTGGGTGACGAGTGAAGGGAGGGGCTTGCTTTAAGGGGCGCTAGCGCAACACTAGGTACTTCAAAGTGTGAGTTCGTTTTAACTTTATTTTTTTATTCTGTATAACTATAATACACTCTAATATGATAAGAGCAGAAATATTATGAATTTATGAATAACATATTATTGCTAGTATCTAATACTCGTTTAGAAATACACAATAACTATTATCGATACTTTAAGTAAATAAAAATACGCGTACCTATATATTTTAGTTGTCGCGTTACCTGCTGTTGTTAGTGCAGTCTACATAGCATGTATCAAACACTTGTTAAAAGAAAAAATATGAAATGTTTAGTACACATTGTATAGACTTTAAAATTTTTAATTGAAATATTTGTTTTATATTACAGTTCTATAGCATATCAGTACTAAAAATATAATATTCTTATAAAACAACATTATTGTTGTTTTTTTTTTTTTAAATTTAAAAACAAATGTTATTACTATAAGAATATTATAATAGTATAAATTCATACAAAATAGTTTAGAAATTTTTTCACAAGGTTCTTGTAAACCTAATAACCAGGGAACTCATTGTGCTGTCGGGTAGGTATTTGGCGTACCTCGTCATTGAATAGGTCACTATATTGAATTATTAATATTTTGGTAACATAATATAAAAAAAAATTAAAGTTATTAATTTGAAAACATTAGGTTTTTCTTGTTTTTTTTCGTTTACTTAATTAATTTGCTATCAAAAAAACAAAAACGCTAAGACACAGATAAAGTTCTTCGTTATGTATAGTGGAATTTTGGTAATTCTACTATAAATACAGAGGGAGCATAGTAAGTTGTCCGGCGCAAAACAGTTTTTGCTATGTTGTGCATTTGTAAGACGGAGAAAACACATGCGGGTATAACGTCTTCTTAAATAAAAACACAATGATAAATCAGTGCATCCCTGTAGGAGAGATAGTACAAAAAACGATCCTGCGCAAAAGAGACAGGCGAATCAACATTTCTTTCTAAGGTCAGAGAACATTTTATACATTTTTAGCTACAAAACAATTTGTAAATATTCGGTAATTTGAACAATTTATAATATACAAACATCTGGTGAACATTTCGAATGTCTACGTTGTTTGTTTTTGAAATAACAAAATCCATTTTGTCAAAAACTAATTTACTGTTTTTATAAACTGTTTTTTCTCAATTATTATATAAAACATGGACTCTGACCCCCTCCCCCCCTCAAGTACCAACAAGATGTACTTTTCAGACAAGATATTAATGTTGAATATTGAAGAATTTACATGACTAAATAAGCCGTCTAGATGCAAAAGAAACATCACATCATTGTAAAATCAATACATTCATATAAAAGCTTAGAATCTAAAAACTAATATTTGACTCTTCATCATAAAAGGGTTTTCATTTCTATAAAAGGTGGGCAGGTTGAACTATCTTAGACTAAAATAATTAATATTTTGAAAATTTAAACCTAAATCGGTTTGAATAGGATTGAATTGAAACATTAAAATGTAAAATGTTTAGAGTAAATTAGTCATATACTCATAATATATTATACCCAGTATAATTTTTGTCTTGAATATATCGTCATAAATTTTGTTTTATCACCTAGTTGTATTTCAAACAAGATTATTATAACTACTGTAGTTTTTTCTAAAATTTCTACGGATAATTAATTTAGTTTTTTTAATAAATTCATATCCATAATTAATTAGTAGTAACTAATAAGACAATTATTGTCGATTATATAAAAAGAATATTACTGAACGAACATTTTAGCTTATACTCTCTGAGTTATTGTTCATTGTTTTTAGTAGTAGGTAACTATAACTAATTTAGTAAAACCTAAGTAATAAAAATACTCCACTATAATTTCGTGTAATTACATCTGTATTTCATAGATTATGGGTATATGGCAGTCAGTATTCATCATTATATTGTTTAGAAGTGTTTACCGTTTTAGTAATATCTACTTAGTACATTCCAATTCATTAGACAATATATTATATGGTCATAATTCCTATAAGACTAATAAATGACGTATGACGTATAGAAACCACGGAATTGTACCTTTTCATTTTTTAAGTTAATTATCAAGCTGAAGCCTTAATAAATAATAAGTTTGTAATAATTGTTAATTAATGTAGCAAATAGTTATACATTTATAATACATGTATACCTAATACATAATGTGTTTAACACATACGATTCATATTAATATAATTAAAATATAATACTATGTATTTATTTGTTTTAAAATAAAATAATGATAGCACAATAACTTACTAAATGACCATTAGCTGGAGGCATGTCAATTTCAATATGAACGAATTCTTTTTTATGGCCTTCGTTGGATGTATAGGAAACCCCTTTAATTCCAATTCTATTTTGGATTCCATCAGTGCTAGGCTCTCCTTTCGGTTCTAGTACCATCCTAAAACAATAATTTACAATAAAAATCAATAAAACACTGAATTTTAAATAATATATATTGAAGAATAATAACGTAAATCAATAATTGATGTGCCTATATACCAAGTTTATGGTTTATTTTCTAGCGGGGACTATACAACAACATAAATGTTATTACTAATTAGTTATTATTGCCTATTAATAAATTATTGTATTTATTTTTATATATATTAAAATGATAATTCTCGAATAGTAAAATAACCCAGAGCAATAAGTTACCTAATCAGTGTTTTTTTTTCGATCCTATAACTAATAACAATACAAATCTCAATCTATTAAGAAAAATAATTATAATTTTACTTTTTAGAAATATATAACACTCATAAATCCGAATAATATTGGTTAATTATATTTAATATTTGTAAATTTATATATATCCATAGGCTATAACTAATTACAATTCAAGTTAAATTAAAAAAACTTTTTTAAAAATAATATCTATAATTTGTTCATTATAATTATACGTATTTATACCTATTATCTAATTAGAGTGGACTGTAAATGAGGACATCGATGACGTCAATATGTTAAGCTGAATAAAATACAGTCAAAAACCCAATCGATTGTTCAAAGAGTGTAGTAAGGTAAATATATTAGTAAATAGTAAATCCAAATACATATATAATAATTCAAACACAATTAATTAATATTTGATAATGGATATCAAGATATGATGAATGGATTGAAAAGTATAACAATAATTACTGTTGAACACGAACGCAAACAACAAATTTTTCATCTACTACACAAAACATATGATATACCTACACCCGCGCCCCATAAAATATTATTTAATAGGTCAAAGAGTCGATAATACATCGTTACTGTAACAACCCTTAACGACATTTAGAAACCTTTATATATAACATAACTTACCTAGTAAAACATGAATGACAAACCAATCAATAATATGTCTATAATATTTTTCTTAATAATATGTCATGATAATATTATGAGTTATGACATAATATGTAGTAGGTATAAATACCTATATTATTACAACGATAATTATTAATAGAAGATAGATACCAACGTTATATAAAGGAAAACATTACAATCAACGATAATGAAATCAGTATAATGTGGTAGGTATTTAATTTAATAGAATTATAAATTGTCATTCATTCAATTCGTAATATTTATTTTAAGCATGCATGTGGTGTCAAGCAGTTGTATGTCAGGAAATTTTAGATGAATTAGAATAATATAACATATTAATATAGTATAATAATTTTGATGATATCGCGAATTACTCATTCACGCCTATTTAATTATTGAAATTCAATTTTAAAATATAATATTCAAAATAAACTTGTTATTAAAACATATTATTGATATTAAATTTGTTTATAATTGGCAATTGCAATAATTATATCTTACGTTACTAATGATATTATGAAAATAAACAATAAATAAAATATTTATAAAGATTGATAATAATATATTACGTAAAATATGCGATATACTCGGGAGTTAATATACATTTAAATTTTAATGTTTAATTGTCAGTGAGAGTTAGACATAATTTGTGGGCTGTGATTGGTCCATTACATTTTGGTAGATCATTAAATTAAGAAGTTTTTATGCAACTTGTGCTCTAAGCACTAGAGCTAATTTCATCCATCACAACTTTCATAACTTAGGTCATATAACAACAAATACGATAGTTGATATTAAAATATCAATATTTTTGTTTATGGATATACCTAGAGACATCATTTCCACTAATATAATATTATTCTATTGACATAAAATTACTTCAATCTTACATACGTATATATACATATGGTTAGGTTAGGTTATGTATGTATATAATCATATACATACACGACAAACACAATTTACCTAATGCAGTGAAATGCTTAAACCCTTTTAGTAATAGCACAAATTCAATATGATAAGGTAATATATAATAGGTATATATAAAATTAATGTTCATATAACCATAATTCGTTTTAGACTTATGATTTACGTTTAGAAACCAAAAAGTTATTTGTTATAGGGTACTTTCTTTAATACATATCAGAAAAATGTCAACTTTCATGACTTACGTCCTATATAAATAATAACACTATTTCATATTTTATAGTAATGTGCAGACAGCAGTTCACATAATACATAAAAATGAATATCAGTCTTATATAATACACCTTTATTTTATATATTCACCTTTTAGATTCTGTCATTCTGATAAAAAAAATTAATTAACAATAGGTAAAATAAAATATTAATATTAAATTTAAGCCCTATAAACCAATGAGAAATTAATTTTAATAATACAGATACACTTAAGAGATAGGTACACAAATTCTTAATTGATATAAAACATAATTTCCTTTTCGAAATAAAAAACACGTTCATTGCACAATTAAAAAACTTTCGAGGTTTGGGTATTTGTATTGCTCTCAAAATCTCATTACCTCCTTACCTGCATTTAATACTGGACGTTGATACAACAATATCAGTCAGGTATATAACTATAGGAAATTATATAATGAAAAAAGTATGTATGTCAAAGGAAATAATATAATTCGTCATGGGAAATTTAAGCGAAACATTTAGTTTCTTTATTTATACAATCCCGTAAAAATCATCACTCAATCATAAAATTTAGTTTAATTTTGACTGAATAGAAAACTCTTTCATGTACAACATAAATAAAGAGAGTCAGTATATAATTCGTCAATGTTTTATTTACTAGTAAATATTAATTCAAGCAAATATTAAACTTAAACTCATTTTTATAACTAAAAAGCTTCATATTTAATTAAATTAAACGAACACATCTAAAATTTAAATTAGCTTAACAAATTTGAAAATGTGTTTCACAAATGACAAATACTTATAAGATCTAAACTGTATAAAAATATACTTTTAATGCGAGTATAAACTAGTATTCACATATTCGTGAATCCCCATAATATATTATGTACCTACTACCTACCTATAATAGTGTAGATATATTAATAAATAGGTACATATTATTATACTGAACATCAAGCGGTAAACCTATGCCACGACGAATATTTTACGGTAATAATTAAATTAGTTAAGTGTACCTAGATATGTAAATAATTTATTTAGTAAGTAGTTATTTAGTAACTATTGTTATTTATTTACTTAGTCAAATAAAACTAATCACAAATAGGTACGAGTTTACGACCGTCAAAATAGAAATAAACAATACAGCAAAATAATAATCTATGATAGTATTGTTGATATATTATATTGATGGGTATATGACTATTCAGCTTATTGTTATTGTTCTCTTAAAAAATCAAATGCAATTATATTACATACTAAAATTAATTTATCAGGGCCTAAAATTAAGATATTTTGCTACTGCACACCTTAATCCACAACAAAATATTTTAATATAATGCACCTAGTAGTGCACATGCCACATACCACATATAACTTCATTGCATAATTGTTTTTGTTATTCATTGATAATTAGTTATAATAAATACAATCTAAAACAATCTTCTATATAATTCCTTGATACCTATATGGCTATATGACTGGACATTTTAAAATTAAAAACGAAATAGCTTAGGTTAATATAATTATTATATTATAAGCCGCCCAGAATATGATGTAGTAGGTATTATTTTTAGTGTTAAGGATTTTAAACGAATACAATATTATGCTAATTACCAATTTTCAATAATCAATATTGAATATTAATCAAATAAAAATGTATAAAACCAAAAATGAGTACTGCACACTTTTAAATTTGCTACTGCACATTTAATATTAGCTACTGCACATAGTGTGTGCTACTGCACACAATTTTAGGCCCTGTAATTTATTATTACATAATAATTTTATCATTAATCGAATGTATATCAGTTTAAATGCATACCGAATACCAAAGGGAGGATGTATCTATTGGATGTAGAGATTTTTTATCCTATAAAAACTTAGGTCAGCAAAAACTCTATAAAAGTTCCATGTAGCACTTTAAAATTAGGAAAATTTATTTAGGTCACAACTTTAAAGATGACATTTATTTTAATTTTAATACCAATTCCTTAAGCGCGTAAGGAAAATTTACCGACAACCTGTGAGAAATATTAAGGAAATCTATTTGAAGACACCACAAAATATTAACTTTATAATAATTATAAGACTATAATTATTAGAGTAAGGATTTCTATGCTATTGCATATTTTTTTCCTTTTTACGTTTTTGGATTTTTGTTAGTAATCTTTACAAATCATAATAATAGTTTGAAATTGATGACAAAATTGTATTTTTTGCATATTTCTACGAAATTCAAAATGTGTTGTAAATTGAAGCAAAAATTAAAAAAAATTGGTATTAGGTAAATATTTTTTGTCAAATAGAAAAATCAAAAATACATTTTGTAGGCATTAAAGCGCTGGGGCTATACACGGCGATATTCGTTGTCGTTGAAAATCTATAGGTTTTAATCAATAGCCGCGACGTTACCGGACGACGATTTTTTAATTTTTTTTCCATATCGGCCAATCCATAAAACGGCATTACGGTGGATTTCCATTGCTTTTAATGATAACGGCTAACTGGTATTTTGTTTTTTTGAATTTCGAGTCAATTTTTATTATCTTATGGTATTTAATACAATATTATTGTAAATAGTAATATTGCAAAATTGGAAATATCGTGAACCTATTGTATTATTAGTTATAAGTTATTTTTATTTTTTTTGTTTTCACAGAGTACGAAAAAGGTATTCCTTATATAAAATTGTAAAACTAAATTATTATTTTCTCGATGGAAACTTTGGCTAAGGCTGAAATTAAGATACCAACAGGCGACGAACTTTAAAAGTATTAGAAGAGCAAAAAATTAAAAAGTTAAACATCGCAAAAAGGGGTATCAATAGTATGAAAAAACTCTATAAAAATTAATTTTTGTACTTCCATTAATATGATTTATTCAGCGGTTTGAGAGTAAAAACCCTTATTCTCAATATT